GTATACACGTACACACACACACACACACACACACGTATCCTAGCCAATTAAGAATGTAACCAGACTTTTAAGATTGGATAAAGGGTTATTGTTTCACTTGTGTAAGGTATTTGCCTTTACCCATCTTAGACGGACATTCTTCAGCTATAGAATATTCTAAGGCTGTCTTCATATCAGTAGGACATCTTCCCAATGCCTTGAATGAGTTTTAGATCCAAATATGCTAGATGAACTTCAGAACATTTATAGCCCACATCTCTGATTAGGACTACAAGTAGGGAGCAACTGATTTGTCTCCATGAGAATCATTGGTACACGCTAAGGAATATAATAAGGAACTTAGAGGAAGCATTTTGTTCCTGAAATATGTTTCAGTAGCTGTAATGAAACAAAAGGCGAAAACCAATCACTTGGTGATAACAATTTTTCATTGGTTTCATATCTGTTGTGAAGTTGATTCAGAGCAGTGATGGCCAAACTTGGCCCTCCAGCTGTTTTGGGACTACAATTCCCATCATCCCTGACCACTGGTCCTGTTAGCTAGGGGTGATGGGAGTTGTAGTTCCAAAACAGCTGGTGGGCCAAGTTTGGCCATCACTGAATTAAGAGTACAGTGGTACCTCGGGTTAAAAATGCTTCGGGTTACAAACTCCACTAACCCAGAAGTAGTACCTCGGGTTGAGAACTTTGCCCCAGGATGAGAACGGAAATCGCACGCTGGTGGCGCGGCAGCAGCGGGAGGCCCCATTAGCAAAAGCGCATCTCAGGTTAAGAACGCTTACGCGTTAAGAACAGACCTCCGGAACAAATTAAGTTCATAACACGAGGTACCACTGTAATGTTTCCCACCCCCCTTTTAAGATCTATAAAATATATTACCTCTGGATTCACATGGTAGCTTCACTCTTTGAAAAGTTTAGATTTGAAACATTGCGCATTGCAGATGCAGGAAGTAGTAGTGGGTCATGTGATCAAATGTGCTCTCCTGCCCAATTTTTAAAAATATGAGTTTCATAGTGAGTTTTGGAAACTACAAAGGTTCATTTCAATCCAGGTTGTATATATCACCAAACAAATATAAGTATGTGTGTATGGGAGAATTTATATATGATAGAGCAATGATGAGAAGACATGTGCAATCCCACAACACTGCTCTTGATATTCTGAATCTCTTAAATAGGGATTCACTCAGTTAAAATGACAAGTGCTATAATATTCACCTGAACTACATACATCTGAGTCTGCATTATGTATTTCCAAATTTACTAATTTGTTTTGCTTTCAATCTATATTTCAAGATCTTCTTTCCTGATAGGCTGTCAGACAGCCCAGGGGACTCCTTTATTAATTGCTAATGTGTTTGTCAGTCTGCTTTCGTCTCTGCTTGGTTTCAGTGTTAATTTATACACAGCTAATAGCATCAGTAAAACTATACCTGATGAATAAACAATGTAAACATTAGACCCTGTTTCAAGTGTTATTAAAAATGTATTTTAAAATATCCCCGTTTCCTTTGGTGTGAATGATAATTTTCACTGATGTTCGCAACCATTTGTTTTCATATTGCTTATGTAGCAAATACTGCTACGAGCTAGTCAGTCTATGGGTTCTTACATGCAGCCTGACCTCCACAGCTGTCAACTTTTCCCTTTTCTTGCGAGGAATCCTATTCGGAATAAGGGAATTTCCCTTTAAAAAAGGGAAACGTTGACAGCTATGCTGACCTCACACTTCCCTAGAAGCTCAACCCTGTTGTTGTTGTTGTTAGCTATTGGCCCAAGTTCAATGTGTTTCTATTAGTTCAGAAACACCTTAATAACTTGATTTACCCATGATGTCGCCTTACCGCACATGCGCCCACTTAACTGCTTCCATCGTTAAATTTTGGCACTCCCAGCCTATTGAGATAAAGCAGGCACCTTCACTGTACCCTTTTTGACACCTGCTAAAAACATTCTTGTTTAGGCAAGCCTACCCAGATGCTTGGGGACGCGGGTGGCGCTGTGGGTTAAACCACAGAGCCTAGGACTTGCCGATCAGAAGGTTGGTGTTTCGAATCCCCGTGACGGGGTGAGCTCCCGTTGCTGGGTCCCTGCTCCTGCCAACCTAGCAGTTCGAAAGCATGTCAAAGTGCAAGTAGATAAATAGGTACCGCTGCGACGGGAAGGTAAACGGCGTTTCCATGTGCTGCTCTGGTTCGCCAGAAGCGGCTTAGTCATGCTGGCCACATGACCCGGAAGCTGTACGCCTGCTCCCTCAGCTAATAAAGCGAGATGAGCGCCGCAACCCCAGAGTCGGCCACGACTGGACCTAATGGTCAGGGTTCCCTTTACCTTTACCCAGATGCTTAGAAATGTGAGGTAGTTTCAATCTGTTTTAGCACTTTTAAGTTTAGGTGGCAAGTGCGGCAGGAAGATTCAAGGACGATCAAAGAAAACATTTAAACATTTCAGTGTAGTATTGTATCAAATTATTATTTTTCATATATCTATATATGTGGATTAATATGAAGGGTGGTATACAAATTTAATAGATAATAATAATAACAAATCTCTTTTCAAAACGAGAGCAAGACCACATAGACAATTCTTCCACAGTTCTGCACAACATATTGTTGAGAACAAGGATTTTCAACTCTGACAAATACAAAAGATCAGAAAAGAGAAAGACTCATGTCAGTGAGATGAGAGTTTGTCTCAAATTAGACCTTATATAAATGAGTTTAGCCAGCAAAAGCAAACTCACACCCCTCCCCGAGTTTGTATAAATACATAGGGTACACACGTAAGAGTCTCTTCATCATTATATTTTTTGGGGGAGTGATTCATGTTCTTATGCACCTGCATTGGTTTATATTTTCTGGATGCCCCATGATCCTATTACAAAGCAGTCTTGTCCTTTGTTACACATCAAGCACTGCTCGTTGTTTCTTTTTTGAGGTTGAATCCTGACAAGACAGAAGTACTGTTTTTGGGGGACAGGGGGTGGGCAGGTGTGGGGGACTCCCTGGTCCTGAATGGGGTAACTGTGCCCCTGAAGGACCAGGTGCGCAGCCTGGGAGTCATTTTGGACTCACAGCTGTCCATGGAGGCGCAGGTCAATTCTGTGTCCAGGGCGGCTGTCTACCAGCTCCACCTGGTACGCAGGCTGAGACCCTACCTGCCCGCGGACTGTCTGGCCAGAGTGGTGCATGCTCTAGCTATCTCCCGCTTGGACTACTGCAATGCACTCTATGTGGGGCTACCTTTGAAGGTGACCCAGAAACTGAAATTAATCCAGAATGTGACAGCTAGACTGGTGACTGGGAGTGGCCGCCGGGACCACATAACACCAGTCTTGAAAGACCTACATTGGCTCCCAGTACGTTTCCGAGCACAATTCAAAGTGTTGGTGCTGACCTTGAAAGCCCTAAACAGCCTTGGTCCAGTATACCTGAAGGAGCGTCTCCACCTCCATCGTTCTGCCCAGACACTGAGGTCCAGCGCCGAGGGCCTTCTGGCGGTTCCCTCTTTGTGAGAAGTGAGGCTACAGGGAACCAGGCGGAGGGCCTTCTCGGTAGTGGCGCCTGCCCTTTGGCACGCCCTCCCATCAGATGTCAAATACGTATTTTCCGCACCATAGGACGCACCGGACAATAGGATGCACTTTGTTTTAGAGGGGGGAGAACAAGAAAAAATAAATTCTCCCCCTCTCTGCCCAGCGCCCCGTCAGCGAAGCGGCAGGAGGCGCTGCGCAGAGAGGGGGAGAACTTTCCCCATCTTGTTTTCCCGCTCTAAAACAAGGTGCCGTTTAAGGTCCGTTCAGGCGGCTACCTTGGAAGCCTGGAGAGTGAGAGGGGTCGGTGTGCACTGACCCCTCTCGCTCTCCAGGCTTCAGGTTCCTTTCGACCCGCTCTTTGGGGCTGGCGGAGGGAAGCCCACCACCAGCCCCAAAGAGCAGGTCAGGGAGCAGCGGAAAGGCGCAGGGGAGAGGCTCCTGCCATAGCCGCGCGTCACCTCTCCAGCCGGGAGAGGGTCGCGGGGCTATGGCGTCTTCGCTCCATAGGACGCACACACATTTCCCCTTCATTTTTGAAGGGGGAAAAGTGTGTCCTATAGAGCGAAAAATACGGTAGATAAACAACTACCTGACATTCAGAAGACATTTTAAGGCAGCCCAGTTCAGGGAAGTTTTTAATATTTAATGCTGTATTGTTTTTAACACTCGATCGGGAGCCGCCCAGAGTGGCTGGGAAAACTCAGCCAGATGGGCGGGGTATAAATAATAAAATATTATTATTAATTATTAATTATTATTATTATTTTCCTTCCAATGTATTTCTTATCAATAAGAAAATTCGGCATGGGAAATTTTCATTCTGAAACTGTGGTGTGGGGCGGGGGCGGGGGTGTGTGTGTCTGAGACCCTACTGCAGGGGTCAGCAACCTTTTTCTGCAGGGGGCCGGTCCACTGTCCTTCAGACCTTGTGGGGGACAGGACTATATTCTGAAAAAAGAAAATGAATGAATTCCTATGCCCCACAAATAACCCAGAGATGCATTTTAAATAAAAGCACACATTTTACTCATGTAAAAACACGCTGCTTCTTGGACCGTCCGCGGGCCGGATTTAGAAGGCGATTGGGCCAGATCCGGCCCCCGGGCCTTAGTTCGCCTCCCCATGCCCTAACTGCCTCAGAGAATTTCATCGGGATATGTGCAACCATGAGGACTAGAAACAAATTAATCACAACAAAAAGTCGGGAGAAAGTTGAGAGCCGCTGCTGCTGCCGCCCTACCCATCCGACAGGGCGCTCCCGCCTTTCGCGCGCTGCTTCTTTCACACGTTCGCGTCAGACACGCGTCGTTCGCGCCTCCTCCTCCTTTTCCTCACGGTGCTGGTTTTTGCATTTGAAAACACGCAAGCGCCGGCCTACCTTGCCTGAGGAGAACCGCGCGCGGCGGTTGGCGGCGAGAAGGGAGGCGGCCTCCGTCCTGTCAGGAGGCGGAGTGTCGGCCCGGGCTCCGGGATTGGCCTGCCAGGCGCCGCGGACCCGGCCTCCCTGCACCCGGGAAGGGCGCCGCGGGGCGGAGCGAGGCCGCTGCTTCCCTCGCCGGCTTGGGAGCTGAGGTGACGCCGACGCTTCCTCCTTTCCCTCAGCCTTGCCCGCCTTCCCCGCCGCTTCCCCTCAGGGCCTGAGGTTCGGGGCCGCCGGAGCGCCGCGTGACGGGGCGGAGAGGCAGCCGCCGCCGCCGGCGAGGAGGAGGAGGAGGAGGGTGTCGGGTGAGGAATCCGCCGAGGCCTCTGCGGCGAGGGAGGCCGGCCGGGCCTGCGCTTGGCCGAGGCTGGGCTTGAGGGGGCGGCCGGGGTGAGGGGACCTGACCGACCGGGGAGGGGAGGATATGGGGGGGGTGTCTTCACAGGCCTTAGCCCCCCAGCCTAAACCTGGGACGGGAGGAACGAGGGAAGCCGTGGCGTGACATGGCACATGGCAATTTTTATTTTTTATTTTTTGGTTCGACGTGAATTCGGGTGGGGGGAAAGCCCATGACTCGGTTAGCCACCCCCTCCCCAAATTAAAATACACCGCCAGGTTTCAGTTTCTGTGACTACAGCCTCCCCTCCCCCCAAAAAAATCCAAAGCTTCAGCTTTTATAGTTGCATCCCTGCTTCAAATCCAAAATTCAGGGCCAGGTTTCAGCTTCTAGAATGATTTCCCCCCGCCAAAAAGATCCAAAATTCAATGCCAGGCTTCAGCTTCCATAACTTCGCCCCACCCCAGTCCAAAAGTCAATGCCAGGTTTGAGCTTCTAGAATTACGTGCCCCCTCTCCAAAAAGATCCAAAATTCAATGCCAGGCTTCAGCTTCTAGAATTACGTGCTCCCTCTCCAAAAATAAATAAATTCAAAATTCAATTCCAGGTTCCAGCTTCTAGAATTACGTGCCCCCTCTCCAAAAAGATCCAAAATTCAATGCCAGGCTTCAGCTTCTAGAATTACGTGCCCCCTCTCCAAAAATAAATAAATTCAAAATTCAATGCCAGGTTTCAGCTTCTAGAATTACGTGCCCCCTCTCCAAAAAGATCCAAAATTCAATGCCAGGCTTCAGCTTCCATAACTTCACCCCACCCCAATCCAAAATTCAATGCCAGGTTTCAGGTTCTAGAATTACACCCCACCCCCTTCCAAATTAAGTATCAGCTTCCATAATTACAATACCCCCAGAATTCAAAATTCTGTGCCACATTTCAACTTTCATAATTACCCTCCCTAATAATAATAATAATTCAGTGCCATGTTTCATGGGGCGTAGCCAGGATTTATGTTGCAGGGCAGGCTTCATGTTGGGGAGCCCCCCAAACCTCAGTTAAGTATTTTTATTGATTTACTTGATTGGGGGCAGCTGCTTCCCTGCCCCCCCCCAGGCTGCGCCCATGCTATGTTTCAACTTCCATTAATCCATTTGCTAAAAAAAACACCCCACCCCAAACGCTTCATTGTTTCTGGAAGACAAGAAGGAAGAATAACTGTGGATGTGCAGAGTGTGTACCACTCTGTTGTTGTTGAGCCTTTCTCTTTCTCTCTCTCTCTGCATCAAAGACTGTGTGCACCTTGCGACAGAACTGTGAAATTTGGAGGCAGGTAAGGCTGCTGTATCTGTGCCTGAGTTGTTGCTCCAGGTTTGCTTTTCTGTTATTATTTCCGTGGGCATATGTGCAAGACAGTGACCGAAACGGAGGGGCTAGGCCAGGGATTAGCAAACTTTTTCAGCAGGGGGCCGGTCCACTGTCTCTGAGACCTTGTGGGGTAGGCAACCTAAGGCCCGGGGTCCGGATGCAGCCCAATCACCTTCTCAATCTGGCCTGTGGACGGTCCAGGAATCAGCGTGTTTATATTGCCCCTTTCAAGGTAAAAAATCGTACTAGGGCTCCTTAGGTAAAGGTAAAGGTACCCCTGCCCGTACGGGCCAGTCTTGACAGACTCGGGGGTTGTGCGCCCATCTCACTTAAGAGGCCGGGGGCCAGTGCTGTCCGAAGACACTTCCAGGTCACGTGGCCAGCGTGACAAAGCTGCATCTGGCAAGCCAGCGCAGCACACGGAAACGCCGTTTACCTTCCCGCCAGTAAGTGGTCCCTATTTATCTACTTGCACCTGGGGGTGCTTTCGAACTGCTAGGTTGGCAGGCGCTGGGACCGAGCAACGGGAGCACACCCCGCCGCGGGGATTCGAACCGCCGACCTTTCGATCGGCAAGTCCTAGGCGCTGGGGCTTTTACCCACAGCGCCACCCGCGGCTCCTTACAGTTGTGCTAAGTAAGAATCAGGCTACTATTTCAGGAATCATCAGCATCATGGCCTCCTGGACTATTTGGCGGTATCTGACTATCGATCCACCAGCATGCCAGACCCAAAACTGAATGGGATACGTTTCATAGTGATGGCCAGGTGCCTGGGCAGCTTCTCAGGCACTGGACAAGTTCACGGAGAATAAGTCTCAACAGTGGCTATGCAGAATCTCCAGGATCAAAGAGTGACAATGTGAGCTGCTGGGGAGCAGCAGTAGGGGATGGCTAATGTCTTCAAACCTTGCTTGTTGACTTCTGTAAGGTGTAGGGTTGGTTACTGTGGAAAATTGAATGCTGGACTCCATGGGCCTTTGGCTTGAACTAGCAAGGCTCATCTTGTTTAACTATAATAATCTAATGGGGAGTGTCTAGGAATATTTGCATATATTCTAGAATAAAAAAAATAGTGACAACAACAGCATCAGTACCTTGAAACATAACCACGAGTCAAATGAAATCAAAATTATTTATGAAATTATTTATGAAATATAGGTAACACTTAACTTTGAACAGGGAACCAACCATTCAAAAGATCCCCAAAGACAGCTGTGGGTCAAAGGAATAAGATGTGATGCTGGCTTGTGGTACTTCAAATAAAATAAATGAAAATAATTGCATAGGGTTTCTCAGAATTTCTGCAGGACTGGGCCATGATCAAATAGCCTACAAAGAAACAGTAAGAAATGGACATAGTAGGAGACCTGTCCCCAGTTCTGCTAAATCCATGAGGTAGAATGATAATAAAACAATAATCATAATTACCTACCAGGATACATGTCCAAGAATAAAATATTTTTAGAACTGAGAGTACTCACTTCTTTCAAAAGAAGATTCACCCCACCCCCAGTTCATTCAAAACATAGTACAGAGCATTGACCAGGCCATGCAACAGCTCTTGGATGCCATTAGCCTTGCAGCTTAATATTTCATTTTTGGTTAAACAAATACTGTGTTGTTTCAACACAGACTTGAATGGGTCACAGAGATAAATTCTCTCCTGTTTGGAATGGAGCGAAAAGGTCCATCTCATCTAAAGATCCATTTGTTGTTTATTAGAGCTCCACCCCTGCAACACTCCATTGTCCAAAAATATAAGTCTTATGTCTCTGTTTCTATGCTTTTTGGCAGGAAGAATGACTCTTGTGCTTTTTAAAACCAACCTTTGGTTGAAACAGGAAGCGGAGCTGTTCCTTCTGTACAGCCCCTCAGAACCCAAAAAACTGCCTGAAAAAGTACATAAGTAGCAGTTGATATTCACTGAAGGCCTTCAAAGTTTATGCTAGCAAGACCTGCAATGTTTTCACTTTTCCCAATATGTGTTTCCAGAGAAATGCACACTGACTTGGGTCAGTCTCAGTCCCCCCTCCCCCCCGTATGTTTCAACAGCATATACAAGGTTGAAATGCATCCACATTTCTTAAAACACTGATTTTAGCAGACATACAATATTGGATTCTAATAAGTACTTATTAAAGGGATTATCTTTTGAAGCGAACCTAGGAGACTTGCAGGTGCTTAACGATTTAAAATCTGTTTCTTTTTTAGTCCCTTACAAGAAAGGTTTCTAAAAACTTAATGGTTTTTTTCTGTTTTGCTAGAAACGATCAACAAGGAAAGGGTGCTCTTGCTAGTTCCTTAACATTTGGCAGATACTGCATGGTAGCCATTGTCTCACTGTGCTCCATTCCCATTTCTAAATTTCTAACATTTAGGCCTCTTGTTTGTCTAATATGGGTTATACTCCTTCCTTTCAGGGCAGCGACCATATCACCCCTGTTGTTGTGTAGTCCAGTGTTATTAAAATACTTATTTCTGTACATATCTTTTCATGTATTAGCTCAGTTGAAAAAACAAAAGTGAATGAACTGTGTTGCTTTTTTTGTTGGTGATCACAACTATCTTTTTTACTTCTAGTCCAAGCAAATATATCATAATGGCAGCAGATTCTATGGAAATTGATGATGCTTTGTACAGGTAAGTAATTTAGCAACATAGTGAGGCATAGTAGATTCATAATAGTACTAATGATGGATTTGGCTTGTTTTCGCTATAGTTCAAATACTAGTGGTTCCTGATGTATGGAACACACCATAGCTGCCATGATTCTTGATCTTCAATGGGGTTTAGCTATTGCCAACTTGCTATTACATACAGTTGAATAGTCCAGTGTTTCCCAACCGGTGTTCCGCGGCACACTAGTGTGCCGCGAGACGTTGCCTGGTGTGCTGCGAGATGTTGCCTGGAGGGAGGCAGGCGAGTCGGGCGGCGAGAGGCGGGGCGGCGGCGGCGAGGAGAGGCCGCCCAGCGCGGGGCTCTCGCCGTCTGCCTGCCTGGCTGCCTGCGTGGCGCTGACGTCACGGGGCTGTAACGTGCCCCACATAGGCACACGCGGGGCGGCGAGCGAGCTCCCTCCCACATCCCATGGCCGCTCGCTTCGGCCGGCCTACTGGGCTGTCGCAGGCGGAAGGCCTGCGCATGCGCGAGGTTTTCGCGCCTTCGGGATTCCCTTCACGCCTTCCTCCTCCCGGGTCCTTGAGAGCGCGGGAAGCGGCAGCGCGAGACCGGCGTTGAGCCTGGTAGGTATTGCGCTTGCCAAGGCAGTCATTTGGGAAATGAAAACTTGCAAAGCAAGCAACCAGTTCAATCTGAAGTACGTGTATGCTTAATATCCTGTATCTGAAACCTGTTCTGCCCCCTCCCCCACACTTGGTGCCATTTTCATCTACACATGCAGCAGAGTAAGTTGACCCAGAATAGTACCAATTCAGATGGCAGATGGGAGAATGACAGTGCTGAATGCTTTCCCATGTAGAACAGTCCCTGCAAATAAAAACCTAGCATATTTGGAAGAGGGATGCTAGCCTAACCATTACCTTCTATGCTGTTACTATTTTTTATTTTTTTTTACATAAGTAAAAAGTGACCTTTCCCCATCTGGCATGGTGGTGTGCCTCGAGATTTTTTTCATGAAACAAGTGTGCCTTTGCCCAAAAAAGGTTGGGAAACAATAGTCTATATTGGCACAACTGAAAAGCCTTTGTTGCAGTGACTGAAGAGCAAATTCAAATAGCATTTGGGAAATAGGTGCTGATTATGTGATAACCGTCAAATCTTGGGCAAATCTTTTGCACTGTGTTTAAAGAACAATGCATAATCTCATCTAAAACTATGTTTAAGGAAACCCCTTAATTATTTTCTGTACTTGACTTAAGTAGCATTTTCTTTAGATAGAATGCCTTTATCATCATGTGCCGAAACAATGGCCTAGCTTGGAAATTAAAAATTGCAATGTTCTTGGCCAGCATCATAGATTACTTTTGCTGTAGTCCTCCACACAGACTGCTTGAATCCAATTTCATCTGCGTGCAGGATTACAGCCTTTGTGCTTAGTGCTCTCATGAGTAGGAATACAAAAGAAAGGCAAATGTTTTGAAAATCATGTTACTGCAGTATACATTTGTAGTATACTGTATGTTGAAAGTACCAGTGGTAATGCTTATTTTGTGTTGAAACTCTGTACCCTGCAGACAATATCCAAATTTTGCTATTTCATAGTGATTTCCTGATGTCAAATTATCTTTTTCCACTTGGATCCTCTTTGTTAAGTAGTCCCATTTGTAGAAGGGATCATGCCAATGAATAGTTATTTTATGGCTATTTACTCCTTTTTTCTTTTCTTAATTTCACATAGTCGGCAGAGGTATGTTCTTGGAGACACAGCAATGCAGAAGATGGCTCAGTCCCATGTGTTCCTGAGTGGAATGGGTGGGCTTGGAGTGGAGATAGGTAATTAAGAAACAGCATTTTTCTCCCTCTTGTACGTTTTATAAGGATAAAATTTGCATATTAAAATGTGTATAAATTTATGTTGTAGTAAGTTTTACGTCTTTAATGAATGTTGTTTTGACTTCTGGATTTGTTTATATGGCTGATATCTTTGTTACAGATTATAATGAAAGTGGAATTGCATAGAATTTCTGTAGCTTCTCTTTTAACAGTTGTGTAATTCATAGGGATGGGATTGAGAAGGAATTACTGTTTTTTGAAGATCATGGAGCAGTTAAAAAATTGAATTATTGCCATAGAGGCTTGATGAAAATTATCTAATAAATAAACTTTATAATATTCATCTTTTTCAGCTAAGAACATAGTTCTTGCAGGAATAAAGGTAAGCAGAACGATTTTTTTCTAAGTAAATTTTGTTTTAAAATTAGAATGTTTCCTCAAATAACTGATGATACTTTCGTAGATTTCAGTCATTACCATTTCCCTAGTGAAATGTTATTAACACAAGTTTCCTAAATGTGGCATGCAATCTGATTTGACTGTAGTGCTGGAGTGTCCAAGATGAAATACTGTATGCTTTCTGTGGGAAGAAAAGCTGTGCATGTGCCACCATCTAAGCACTAACATGCTAGAGGATAGGACTATTCTCTGCTCTCCAATAGCCATTATGGGTTTTTGTTTTCCATTGACTTCAACAATTCCATCTTGATAGTTCTGCTTTAAAAACAACTGAAATACAGTGACTATTTTTAGGCATTTTGGTTCTATTAGATGGCAACTAAAACTCTGGTCCTCAAATATTATTTTAAAAAATCAATACCTGCAGCATATGGGATCTTTTAAAGCATTTAGAACCATAAGCTACTTTTTGTGGCGTTGTATGGGACGCGGGTGGCGCTGTGGGTAAAACCTCAGCGCCTAGGACTTGCCGATCGTCAGGTCGGCGGTTCGAATCCCCGCGGCGGGGTGCGCTCCCGTTGCTCGGTCCCAGCGCCTGCCAACCTAGCAGTTCGAAAGCACCCCCGGGTGCAAGTAGATAAATAGGGGCCGCTTACTAGCGGGAAGGTAAACGGCGTTTCCGTGTGCTGTGCTGGCTCGCCAGATGCACCTTGTCACACTGGCCACGTGACCCGGAAGTGTCTTCGGACAGCGCTGGCCCCCGGCCTCTTAAGCGAGATGGGCGCGCAACCCCAGAGTCGGACATGACTGGCCCGTACGGGCAGGGGTACCTTTACCTTTACCTATATGTGCTGGCATGGGTAAAAAACACAATCAGAGATGTGAAGAGCAAGGACAGTCCACAATAGAAGAAAATGGTCCTGTCTGGGGATGGTGGGAAGTGTTTGCTCTTCCAAAACTTCTGTGGGATTCAGTAATATCTTCCCAATATTCCTCAGCACCAGAAGTCTTCATTTAGGATTTCTGCATTTTAAATTTGGTCACTGCAATTCAGTCCCCTTTGTGGTGCTGAATGAATCCTCCCGCCAATGGTGCTTTGCTACGTACTTTTGCAAATTAATTTTTGTTGCTAGATAACAGTGTCCCTTCACTGTAAAACAAATGAAATGTCTAGGTTGGCCCTATGCTATAAACTTGATAAATTCACATGACTCGTAATCACAGTGTACAAAACATTATATAATTGCCACTTTTAATATATTTTAATCTTGTATCCTTTATCCTTTCCGAAGGCTCTTACCATCCATGATACCAAGCAATGCAAGACGTGGGATTTAGGGACAAACTTTTTTGTTCGTGAAGATGATGTTCTAAATTTAAGAAACAGGTGTGTGTACAATTCTTCACAAATACTGTAAGCTTTTAATGGTTTTTGTCTGACTTTATACCAGTTTTAAGTACATTATTATTATTATTATTATTATTATTATTATTATTATTATTATTATTATGTCACTTTCAGAGTCTGTGTTTTCAGAAAAATTGGATTGATTCCTGTTAGCTTTTTTCAACAGAGAAGCTGGAATTGCAGTTATCTTTCATCAATTTTTTTTAAAGAATGAGTACAATTAACCTGCAGAATTGTTGTATTCTTTTGTGTGAAGGAGTAAACCCACACCATTATCTGTGCTGAATAGACGATATGTGGGAGCCAAGGATATACAGTAGCTGCTTATTTTTTAGTTCTACTGTTTTACATTAGTAGCTTGTAACTAATATGGATCCCTTTTTCAGTTGAAAGCAATATCAAAGGAAAGCAATATGATACAAAATGCTTTAACCAATTTACTTTTACATAGAATCTAGTGCTTTAAAACCCCCCACAATACTATGATAAAATTATTTGTATCATAAACATTGTTTGACAGAATGATATGCCTAAAAATGTGATCGTCACTATATATGGTAAATAATATTTCCAGTTGATGGATGTTGTTTCAGCCTTGTGGTCTTTCTCTAGTGGCATCAATGTTGCAAATAGTGGGTTAACAACAACAAAAATGTGACAGGGCATTTCAGGCTTTCATAGATTGAGAGTTGTATCTTTCAAGGATATTGTCCTCTGTTAAGATTCACTGCATGAAACAATACATTTCTGTGTGGGGGGGAAACTTTCTGTGGGAAAATACAGCAGTGGAAAACTTTACAGCACACATAACTATAATAATATTTTCTTCAGTAGATAATGCATTTATATCTAAATTAGAGAGTGAAATATCTTTCAGAGGGACAGATTTGACTTTAAGAAAGCTAAGTTCTGTGTGAAGTCTGCAATTAAAATGATGGTCGGTGACAGATCACAGCTGCACATTTAACTTGACCTTTGTGGTTAACAGTTGAATCAGAAGCACAGGTAACTTAAGTAAAACCTTAGCTTAACCAGCTGATGTTGGCTAAGTTAGATCAGCTTGGCCAATGATGATGGGAGTTATACTCCAAGAACCTGTGGAGCGCCCCACTTTGGTTGTCCCTAGGTAAAATCATTTCCTCATTGAAACATTTTCTTCAGTAGTTAATGCTGAACTCTAAATCATTAGAGTTTTCAAAATCATGTGATCGACGTTACATACATACATACTGAGTTCACACAGTTTTATAAATAACTGGTTGTCTGGTAGGTAATAACTCAACCAGGTAGGGATGTTTTCCTAATTTGGATGATTGGTACTTTTCAACCTTCCAGAAGGTTGGTGTACTAATCATGGCTAACTTGAACATTTATGTTAGCAGGTGCTCTAGTAATGTTTGGTGCCATATTTGAAAGGCTGAACTTAAAAGTATAACCTATGCAACCTATAATGCATATAACCTATAATGCAACTGGAAAATGTATTTCAGAGGTGAGGCATCACTTCATCACATTGCAGAGCTGAACCCATATGTCCAGGTGATGTCATCAACTACCCCTTTAAATGAAGTTACAGACATCTCTTTCCTCAGACAGTACCAGGTATGTGGCATGTATTTGAAACATCTGTCCTCTTTTCAGGGGGGGTCTGCAAATTTCGGCTGTTTGTGGTAGGCAATCATTATTTTATGACTGCTCCTGACTTTCCTTAACTTTCCCAGAGTCCCTTTGCGAATACAAAATACTTGAGAAAGGGGTGGGTTCACTATCTCACTTTATTGGGAGGGATTTGAAGGTACTTAAAGGTAGAAGAAGCAAGAGAACCTACCCCATCTCCATCTTACAGAGGACTTGCAGGTGGTGGTGGATGAGTGGAATAATTCTTTCACTTCGTGGGGTAGTCCGAAGGCATTTAGAGGCAAGAGGAATTTTTGTAGCTTTTGCTACAAAACTGAGAAACTAACCCTTCCCTCAAGTCCTGTAGCTGCACCTTGGTTGAGCAGAACAAGCGAAGCACCTGTCTAGGTGGGAGAGAGATACCAAGGCTAAGAGAAGCTGGAATGCTTGTTCTGATGGCTCATAGTTCAGTGTCAGAAATGTGCAAATCCTTGTGGCTGTGCTATATAACAGGCTTCCTCAACCTTGGCCCTCCAAATGTTTTTGGCCTACAACTCCCATGATCCCTATCTAGGAGGACCAGTGGTCAGGGATGATGGGAATTGTAGTCTCAAAACATCTGGAGGGCTAGGGTTGATGAAGCCTGCTATATAACTTACCATTTGAAGAAACTTGAATATTTGGCTAGTAAGTTCATCGCCTTTGATAACTTAGAATTTATCTCTGGGATTTTTCTTTCAAAAGTGTGTCATAGTAACTGAGATGAAGCTGTCACTACAGAAGAAGATAAATGACTTTTGCCGTGCGCAGCACCCACCAATTAAGGTAATGCAAAACAGTGAGAATGTAGTATATTGACCAAAAATGGCTGTGCCCATTACTTTTGAGAACTTCCCCATATCTGTTACAAGACTAAATTATTTCCATGCAGACACTATTATAACTTGGTGCTGTTGCTTGTTCTGTTCCTGGATATACCTGTGCCAAATGCCCATGAAGAGCTCATAACTTGGTTTCCTCCTAGAGGTTGGAACCCTTTACAGTACAGTAGAACTGAGCAGCATGAACAAAATGAAGGTATCTGAGGAGTTTCTGGCTGCATTTGTGTTGAGTATATGAAATCCAGGTGCTGGGCACTTAGAGGTCACACAGCTCCACATGTTCCTGAATGATACTGCTCCCATTAATCTATTTTAATCCAGTTTCAGGCTGGAGTTCAGTAAGAAACAGGTTCCATTGTGTTGACATAGAAGTATTCCATACCACTGACCATGGTATTGTTCTGGACCAACTCGCTGAATTGCTGTCTGGGTTTGGTATTCAGTTGGTTGGGAGCTCATATAAGCTAAAGCTCCCAGGCAAAATAGAGGTTATTTGTGGGTGGTTTGTTTGACCTGGGATGTGATTTGATCCTGTTCTGATTAGGGTTACATTCCCTCTGAAAGATCAGGCTTGTCTTTGGACACCCAAGTGGCTTTGGTGGCACAAACTTCCTTTCAACCCACCTAAACCTAATCTGCCAGCTCCAGTCCCTCCTGGACAGAGAGTTTCTGTCCACAGTTAATCCATGCTCTGGGAGCATCTTGTTTGAATTTTTGCAGTTTGCGGTATGTGTGTGGCTGCTTTTGTTGGAAGCTACAGTTAGTGCAAAATAAATAAGCTAGAATGCTCACATGCCCAGTCAGCAGATCTCATCAGTTTTAAAATAACTACAGTAACTCCCAGTCAGTTTCTGGGCACATTTCAAAGTGCTGATTCTAACTTTTATAGAGCTCGTAAGTGGCTGAGGACCCTGGTACCTAAAGGACAATCTCCTTCAACAGGAACCAGCCACCTTTTATCAAGCGGCTGGAATGCTGTGTTAAAATCCTTATACAAAAAGAAACCCCATGGTTTTTGGGGACCACACCAGGTAACGTGCTGGACAGAGCAGAATAATGGGCTGGTAGAGAATAAACCCACAAGGAACATCATTCACTTAAAAATAAATTTATTTAAGGAAATTGGAATTTATATGGCATTTAACATTAAGGGAAGAAAACATAAAATGGCAAAATACATAATGTAGAAAAGACAAGCTTGTTTAGGCGTGTTATCCTTCATTTGACTCTATATAGCAGATGTAATGGCTACCAGGCTTCTTCAAATCTTATATAATCTTTTTGTTAAAATAGAGAGAGCTCTGTTGTTCTGCGGTAAAGTGGCAAGGAGAAGCAGAAAGTTATACGCCATGGTAAATTCACACCAACTGGAAGTTTTCCAGACAAAGGCAACCTTTACTTTTGAATTGTCCATTTTTTCTCCTTGTAATCAAAAACTGATACAGTCAGGATGAGTAAAACACTTCATTTTAGTCAATGGAAGAAAGGGTTGGTAATTTTTTGACTCTTGGAAGAGGAAGCAGATAAAATTTTCAAACCTCATCCATGTGCAGGGAAGAGATAATTACACGCTGATTGTATGTCCTCAAATATATACTTTAGTACCTGTATGAGGTGGAGTTTTCCCTACTGGAAATTGTACACTTAATGCAGTCAAACCAATGTTTGGGAAGGAAGAATCATTTGGGGGCTATCCTCTTAAATTTTATCTCTTTGCTTTGAATTAAGATTGTGAAATTTATTTAACTTACTTGTCTTTCGTATAGTTTATAAGTGCAGATGTATACGGGATATGGGCACGTCTGTTTTGTGATTTTGGTGATGAATTTGAAGTCCTAGACACCACAGGTGAAGAGCCAAAAGAAATCTTCATTTCAAACATATCTCAGGTGAGGACGATAGCAAGGTTTACTATATCAGTCCAGTTTGAGAGTCCAGTGTATTCTGAGGAAGCTAGTGTGGTGGGGTTTAGTTAGCCCAACAGTTTTTGAACTTAAAAAAGTATGCCATCAGTTTGCCATTAACTTACGTATAACAGAATTATAGGAACTACCTAAGCGTAGCTGCAATAATTTATGAGTTGTGAATTATGTGTTACAGAACTTGCAACTGTAGCACATGCTACTCTGGCAGCAAAGGCACAATTACAGCTTTTCCCAAGTGTATGAATTGGGCAAGCGAAAAGGGTATATGAGGCAAATCATTACTGTGGTTTTATTTTGTTGTATCAGCCACAGAGAAAACACATACCCTTTTCTTGGTGCCAGAAGTGACCATCCCTACCAGTTCTGTGACTTCCTTTCTTGATACCCCAGAACTATGTACGCTATGACTCAAACCCAGGGCTTCATCTACTCTGCTAAGAATATACTTTTTGGGTGGGTTCAGCTGAGAAACTATACAGGCATTTAAATGTCTATTGTATTTGGAAAATAACAGTACACCTTTGGCTTCTGGTCATTTATTTGGAAATACAGGTAGTGAGCATCTGGTCATAGATGTCCACACCACCTTTAGTTTAATGTATAATAAAGAACTGTTTCAGGTTTGCGTGTCTGAGGTTGTTGCATCTTTATGGATTGAAAAAAGGAGAATATTTGTCCTTTTAAATATATAACTTAAAAGAGTGAAACTTTTTGAAAATGAAAAACAATGCTATTGCCAGTTTAGATTCTGCCACACAAGTGAACTTTTGGCAGTATCTATGCTGCAGTTGCAATGATTTTCAATCTGTGTATTTGTAGGAGCCAAGAAAATGTTTGTGTGGCAATGTCTAGCAATCATTTCTTTCCCATACTAATTTTTGGTGTGTTACAATTTCAGTCCAATCCTGGTATTGTCACTTGCCTTGATAATAACCCTCATAAGCTTGAAACGGGACAGTTTGTAACTTTCCGGGAAGTTAATGGAATGCAGTGTTTAAATGGATCCACGCATCAAATAACTGGTAAGCCATGTTTTGTATAGCTTTCCTGCTTGTGCGAAGCCACTGTTTTCCAAACTGATAGAAATGCATTTTCCTTTCATGTTGTTCTGCTGTGTGCGCTGCCTTAACTCTGTTGCTGCCAGTTCACAACATTGTTGTTCAGCATTGCTCCATAGTTGGGAGACATGGCTTGAAACTCTCTTTAGAAATGCCTGCATTAAATCTTGAACTCGGGCTTTTAAATAGAGGGCAGAACTTCAGCAACTTGCTTAAGTTTCTCCCCATGACTAGCAGGAGTTACCGTATTTTTCGCTCCATAGGACGCACTTTTTCCGTCGTAAAAACTAAGGGGAAAAGTCTGTGCGTCCTATGGAGCGAATACAGGGGGGAGGCAGGCAGGAAAAGCCCCCAAGAGCCACACACAAGCTTTGCGCGGCTCTAGCGGGCTTTTCCCCAGGAGGGAGAAGGGTTCTTCCCTCCTGGGGAAGAAGGGTTCTCTCTCTAGAAAAGCCTTGCACAACTTCTCCAGCCGGGGGGAGGCTGCGCAAGGCTAAAGAGGAAGCCAGGGCAGCGAGTGCAATCCATCCTGCTTGCTGCCCTGGCTTCCTCTTTAGCCTTGCATGCCTCTCCAGCCGCAGGCTTCCCCCGCAGCCCCGAGAAGCTCTGGGAGAAGCGGATCCGTTGCTCTTTGGGGCTGGGGGGGGGGGAATAATATTTTCCACCCTCTAAAAACTACGTGCGTCCTGTGGTCCGGTGCGTCCAATAGAGCGAAAAATACAGTAAATACAGTGGTACCTCGGGTTAAGTACTTAATTCGTTCCGGAGGTCCGTTCATAACCTGAAACTGTACTTAACCTGAAGCACCACTTTAGCTAATGGGGCCTCCTGCTGCCGCCGTGCCGCCGGAGCACGATTTCTGTTTTCATCCTGAAGCAAAGTTCTTAACCTGAGGTACTATTATTTCTGGGTTAGCAGACTCTGTAACCTGAAGTGTATGTAACCTGAAGCATATGTAACCTGAGGTACCACTGTACATTGTGGAAATATGGTTGCTTTGCATAATCATAGAATTGTAGATTTGGAAGGGACTCTGAGGGTCATCCAGTCCAGCCCCCTCTAATGCAGAAATCTCAATTAAAGCATCCATGACGGATGGCTATCCAACCTCTCCTTAAAAGCCTCCAATGAAGGAGAGTCCACCACCTAAGAGAATTGTACATGTTTAGTGTTAACTCTTTGAAAGTCAATTAGGTTTGCAGATCCTGTATAAAATCAAAAGTGTTTTTCTGCTCTTTCTGTAGTTCTGTTTTATTTAACTACCTTGTTAACAGCGATTTACACTTTCTCCTCTCTTACAGTGGTATCACCTTATTCTTTTAGCATTGGGAATACGGTGGATATGGAACCTTACTTACATGGCGGCATAGCTATCCAAATAAAGACGCCTAAGATATTCCATTTTGTAAGTATCCTGCATAAAGACAACAGTCAGCAGTGATCACATCTGTTTTCACCTCTAGAAATCATTGAAGCTTGGTGCTCAGACCAGAGATCTGACTTTTTGAATAAAAATATTATTTAGCCCTTCTCCATATGAGGCACCTGTATAACTTGATCTCGAAAGGGCAAGGTTATGTTAAAATGTCAGAACATAAAATCAGGGATACATAAATTCACTTACCACCCCACCTTCTTACTATGGTGAACGTCTCTCGTTTCTTCTGGTGGTTGTGCTGTACTTCAAAGGGGTTTGCAGTACATTGGATGTATAACTACAGGGACAGTTTTTCTCCCTTGATTCTGATTTTGTCTTGAGCTTTGGAAGTGTTTGAAGCCCCTTGATTCAAGGAATTAGTCTACGCATCTTTCGCTTAGCCTTTGCCTCAGAGTACCTGTAGGGCACAACACAAGGTTAGGTACAGTTCCTGGTCTTCTCACTTGGGTTGCAAAGGGTCTGTACATCAGATCACACATTTTTAAGTTGCACATTTAAGCATTGTAACTTGGAACATGATGTGTTCCAAACTCCTTTTGTCCCCACTGCAATGTTTTCTACACGTTTTGCTCTTTACATTCTCCTGTACCATGACACCTATTCACTTACTATACATAGCAGAGAGTAAAAGGGTGCATTCATTGTGATGGAGGCTAAACCCATCCCTTGCTCCTAGTGAGATTTGTATCTGTGGTGCAGAGGTAGGTTTTCCTCTCCCCAACAGTCTTTCCCATTTAATGTGTTCCTAGCGAGCTATGATGACTCCCATTTCTGGTTTATTTTTTGAATTATATCTACAGTTACACCCTGCTAAAGTCTGCAAGCTAATCCTGGGAAGGTTTGGGAAATTTTAAAGATGCTTGCATGTACTTTGCTTTCTTCTGTTCTAAAGTGTGTGCAAATTGATTTTTTTAACTTTTAGCAACAGCTGGAGAAGCAGTTGATTAACCCAACATGCCTCGTTGCAGATTTCAGCAAGCCTGAGGTTGGTTTTGCTTTGTCTTGTTTTTAATATGACACTTTGATGTTTAAATATTGTATACTGCATTTGTTTTCTCCTTAAGGCCTTAGTGGCTCTTGTTCTTGCTGTAACAAGCTAATGTAATCCTTAGAGCAGAGCTTTCCAAACCTTTCATGCTGGTAACATGCTTTTTAGACATGCATCATTTCGTGAGTTTTACTAGCAAAGAGGAGGTTAAACTAACCCCTTTCCATCCCTGGGAGGAGCGTGGGGAGCATTCACGCGACACACCTACACACTGCAGATGACACACTAATGTGTCATGACACAGTTTGGAAAGTTTTGCCTTGGAGTATACAGACTTCTTCTTATGTGATTGCTCTGCATGTTACTGATCATCCACTATTTTCTCCTCCTTGCAGGCCCCTCTGCAAATTCACATTGCCATGCTTGCCTTGAATCAGTTCCAAGAGAGTTTTGCTCGTATGCCGACAATTGGGTAACGTATCTGTACCACAGCTGCACAAAGTTTGGGTTGTTGGGTACACTGTTAATATAGTTAGAGGTGGAGAGATTGTTATCGATAGCAGTTTAAACTGTGACTCATCAGGTTATTTAACTGAGTTGCAATCCCTTGCACAGTTCAACTGTTTACAAATCACTTGGGCTTCTGTGGGATTTAATCTGCCTAAATGTGTGCAGAATTGAGACCATGATTTTCTTATCCCTGCTACTTGGGAAAGTCATGGACAGAGAATCAATTTGTTATGTCGGTTGTACAAGAAACTTCAACTGTTGACTATTTGAGGACAGACTATGATGTATTCATATAACATTTAAGACTCTCCACTGCTTCACGGCCATGAATTGGAACTATTGTCCACAATATGGTATGTGTTTGGGGGTGGGATTAAAGAGATATTAAAGTGGAGCGGGGGCTTGGCTAAAACCACCTTGTGAGTCCTTCTATTTTATGTATGTATTTAGGAGAATTTATACCCCGTTACTAACTGAAGTTCTCAAGGCACCTTGCAATATATTTAAAACACAATAAAATAGACAAGTGATACAACAGTCAATAGAGCAAGGGGAAAGTGTGTGCAAGTTCCCCCCTTCGTATTTTTTTCAATGTTCCAACAAATGCAGCTGAATCTCCTGGCTGTTGAAGCAACTAAATGTCATTCTCACATAGGCCAGGACTTTCTCCCAGCTCTGGTAGCAGATATAAGAGGTGCTGCGTGGAGCAGAGATGCTATGCTTTTTGTTTGGGTTTCAGGTGCCTTCAGGATGCTGAAGAGATGCTGAAGATGGCAGTGTCCATAAGTAAAACATTGGAAGGCAAAGTGAGTAATTTTGTGCTATCTATCATACTCACCTGTGACTGTAGTAATGCATGTACAGTGGTACCCCTGCAAGACGAACGCCTCGGAAGACGAAAAACTCGCTAGACGAAGGAGTTTTTCGTTTTCTTAGCCGCTTCACAAGACGCATTTCCCTATGGGCTTGCTTCGCAAAACGAAGCTTGCCCCGCAAGCTCCGGGGATAGCGGGGAAGCGCAGTGCGTCTTCCCCGCTGTCCCCAGACCCATTTTGAAGCAAGGGGCGGCAACGGGGAGAAGCAATCTTCTCCCCGCTGCCCCTTCCCTTGCTTTAAAACAGGTCCGGGGACAGAGGGGAAGGCGCGCGGCGCTTCCCCTCTGTCCCCGGACGGTCTCCATAGGAACGCATTGATTGATTTTCAATGCATTCCTATGGGAAACCGTGCTTCGCGAGACGAAAAACTCGCAAGAAGAAAAAACTTGCGGAACGAATTAATTTCGTCTTGCGAGGCACCACTGTAATTATATAGCATGGTGCATTTAAATGTTGAACTGAACTTTGTGAGATCACTCATCATCTTCAGTTTTCTGCTGTAGTTGGTCTCTGCTGGCTCTCTTATATGTTTTACATTTATATCTTTATCACCTGAGCATCTTTGTGATGCATTATAGTACCTTCTTTTGCATCAGTCAAAAGCTGTCATGCATGGAAACTGTGCAGAAATGTAATTAAGACCATTGCTCAGCTCCCCCAAAAGTATTACACAGCTTTCCATGGTTGCTTCAGCTTAGTGAGCAATTCTGTTGAGAATTTGTATTTCAAAAGAGGGACATGCCATCTAAATCTGTCTTTTACTTTTTTATTTTTACCCACCCCCACTATATAGTAAACGTTGATATTGACCAATGAAACTTATGCACGACTCAAACTCTTAATCTCTTACACACTCATCTTACTACTAACACACACATACATACATATTATGAACGAATGAGCAACTATTCTCCTTATTTTATCCTCAGAACAGCCCTGTGAGGTTATGTGGCTTCTCATTTGAAAATGGGCACAATTGTTGGGATTGTGTTGTTATCGTCACTGTGTGACACTATGATGTGAAACAACTCTATTAAATTTTCGGATTTTAATGTATAGTCTACATAAAGGTTTACTCAATTCTTTTTTAATTTGCATTTTCAAAAAGAGGAACAGAGAGCATATTTAACCCCCCTCCCCTCCCCCACCTCACTTAAAACTTCATACCAAATACAGCATGTATACATATACCATATGACTTCCCTTCCATGCTTTTCCTGGCTCCTTTCGCTTTTATACTACTTTTCTGTAAGCACTGTTTTTACATCAGTAGTAAGCTGAAATTGCCCAAGCTTTTCAAGACAAATTTTGAGCAACAGTTTGAAAGAATAGAAGGATTATAATCCGGTGAGGGTTATGTAAACAAAAATGTAGCTTCGCTGATGTTTTCCTGTTAGCTGTTTCTTGCTTTCAAGGAGCTCTTGTTCCAACATTTTTCATGCAAAAATGTATTCCAGGTTAGCAGACCATGTTGGAGGATAATTTTTGTTTTCTAGGGCTGCCAATGGCTACCTCATGCAGTGAGAAGCTCAGTTACCAGTTTGTGATTGCCCTAATCAAAGGGACAGAAGCTGAGAACTGAATTTTAATTGAGACAGCTCTTACCTCTAATGTGCTTTACTTCCCATGTTTACTGTGCACCAATTTACCAAGTCAGCAACCTACTAATTTTAAAGAATTCAACGCTATTTGTATACAAACATTGTTCTTACTTTGTTTTTAAATTGTAGCCTCAAGTTAATGAAGACACGGTGAAATGGCTATCAAGGATGGCTCAGGGATCTTTGGCACCTCTTACAGCAGCACTCGGTGGTGTTGCCAGTCAAGAAGTCTTGAAAGCAGTGACAGGAAAATTTTCTCCCCTGCAACAATGGGTCAGTTTTCTTTGTTTTGGATTAGGTTACATAAATTTAGGGACGAGAGCATTCTGTGAGCATAATATTGCTTGTGTTCAGATGAACCATCAAAGATGGTGGAGAACAGCAAATGACACTTGTGCATGAGTGTTATTCTCCCTTTTTTGCATCCTGGCCTTAATTCTGTATTTCAGATTTAAGCAAGCCATAGTGTACTATTATGTCCAAACTGGCAACCTTTTGGTTTGAGTGAGACTTCAAGATTGTCTGTATAGTTTGCCAGGAAGTAATGAATTAAGCCCCGGGGTGGGGGGGGATTGACACCTGAGTACAGTGTTCATTCATGATACTCCACCATGGTCTAGAGCAGGGGTCAGCAACCTAAGGACCACAAGCGGCCCACGTGGGTCATTTAACTGGCCCATGAGCTGCCCCCGAACCGGTTCATGGCAGCAGTCCTTCTCACCAATCATTCCTGCTGTGTTGCCTTATCGGAGTGTTCCCACTATAAGGTAGGATGCATTACTATAAGGAATTACTACAGATGAGAGTACAGTCATACTTCGGGTTACAGCCACTTCAGGTTGCGTTTTTTCGAGTTGCGGACTGCCAAAACCTGGAAGTACCAGAACGAGTTACTCCCAGGTTTCAGCGATTATGCATGCGCAGAAGCGCTAAATTGTGCTTTGCACATGCGCAGAAGCACCAAATCGCAACCTGTGCATGCACAGATGCGGGTTGTGAACACTGCGGGTTGTGAACGTGCATCCCGCACAGATCACATTTGCAACCCAACCGTCCACCGTATTAAGGGTATTTTCTGGATGTTTAAATTCACAGTATCAAAGCCTACTAATAAAACAATATTAAACTGAGAAATAGTAAATTATGAGACATAGTACTAGTCTGCTGGCAAATCATCCCATAGATATATATTGCTTGTTGCACACATATCAGTTTTGTTTTGAAGTAAGCAAGAACCGATTTATGTGCGAAAGATAAAAGAGTTGGTAGAGGGAGGTAAGAAAGCATTGCAGTATATCATTTCAGACTCTTTTTAAGTATGACATTCATTTCTGTAGGCTTTCCCTTCTTAAAAAAACCAAACTACTCCCTGCTTATACTAAACATTGTGGAGAAAGATCAAGCAACCATTTTCCTGTTGTGTTAGTGTGCCACATGAAGGGAACTTCTTATGTTGGGGGAGCTGTAATTAATGCAATACACCACCAGCAGTCTGAAGTGGTGCAGTCTAGAATTCTATCACACCAGTCTACTATCTTGTTCAGATTCCCCACCACCACCCACCCAGGTTGTATGCTGTAATAAAATATTGTTATTTTTAGTGTAGTTTAAACGTTTTAAGACATGCTGAATCTTGTTTTTCCCCCCCTCCTTCTCCAGCTGTATACTGATGCATTTGAATTAGTCACATTTCTAGAAAAAGTGAGCCATGAAGAATTCCTTCCAAGGTAAAAAAATGGCACAGTCAAGCTGCTTATGCTCTCTCTGTTCCTTAATCAATTAATTTGTTTACTTCTTCAACATTTATGTTCCACCTTTCTTCCAAGCAGCTCAGAGTAGCATAAATTATCTCCCCTCCCCACCAATTTTACCTTCATAACAAACCTGTTTAGTTGGATAGAAATGCTCAAGGTCATCCAGCAAATTTTGATCCTCCTGGTCCCAATCCCAAGATAACCACACAAATGCTGTTGTTGTGTCTGAAGGCACGCATATTTAAAAGAACTTATATAAAACACGTACGCGTGTGTACTTTTTTCACCCAGTGGTTGGGAACCTCAGAGCTAGGGCCCTATGTGCAGCCCTCAATACTCTCCCTGGGTCATATCTCTCAAGGATCCTCTCCTCTGCCCCCTCTGAATGCTTTTGCCTGGCTGGAATGTTTCTTTGAATTACGGTAATACCTTTGGCTTTACGGGATGGCAAGGGAAGAGTACATCAGTTGCCCAGCCTGCTTATGCCTCTAGCCCTGCCCACCCAGAAGGGAATGTGATGCTCAGAATGAAAATGTTCCTGATCTCTGTCCTAACCCATTGAAGCAGGATTTCTGCTCAGAGAAGATGAGGTTATCCGATTCCAGAGGAGCCTAGGGAGCTAATTTATATCAAGGCAGACGATTGATCTATGTAGCTCAGTACGTTCTGCATTGACTGGCCCTGCCCTTTCAGGGTTTGGGGAAGGAGTCTTTCCCTGATCTACCTGGAGATGCTAGGCATCGAATGTGGGACCTTATTCATGCAAATCATGTGCTGTGCAGCTGAGCTTTGGCTCTTCCTGGCTATGTTTGTCTGTTTGGACTGCAGGGGTCAGCAAACCTTTTCAGCAAACCTTTTCAGCAAACCTTCTCAGACCCTTGTGTGTGGCCAGACTATATTTTGAAGGGGGAAAAAATGAATGAATTCCAATGCCCCACAAATAACCCAGAGATGCCTTTTAAATAAAAGGACACATTCTACTCCTGTAAAAACACGCTGATTCCCGGACCATCTGCAGGCCAGATTTAGAAGGTGATTGGGCTGGATCCGGCCCCCGGGCCTTAGTTTGCCTACCCATGTTTTAGAGCAAAACAAAACAAAACACAAAACAACAAGAATATGGCACCTGAAATACTGATAAGACTTACGTGGCATAAGTTTTCATGGACTAGAGCCAACTTCATCAGATGCTTAAAGTGTTGCCTTCAATTGACAGCTGTGTATGTACACAGCTCTGGACCTCAATACCTTAAGGACAGCCTGTCCCCATGCAAACTGACCCATACCCTGTGCTTGGCATCTGAGGCCCTTCTCTATGTCCCCCCCTCCTAGAGAGGTTTGGAGGGTGGCAACAAGAGAATGGGCCTTTTCTGTGGTGGCTCCCCAATTGTGGAATGCTCTCCCCAGAGAGGCTCGCCTGGCACCATCATTACATGTCTTCAGGCATCAGGCAAAGTCATTCCTCTTTACCCAGGCCAGTGGCTATTATATAATCTACAGCCTGTCAGTGTGTGAGGGAGAGGGACTGTTACTATTATTTTCTTATTAGGCTGCCTGTCAGTATGCTTTTTACTATGGTTTTATTATGTTTTATCATTGTTTTGTAATGTGTTTCTAATGTTGTACACTACCCTGATATCTTTTGATAAAGGGTGCTATATAGTGGTATATAAATTGTATTCTTATTCTTATTATTGTTTGTTGTTGTTTAATGCCTTTTAGAAATGCTTATTTTGTGATATTGGAAGGAGGAGAGTATGCTAGGGAAATATGAGCATCTTTGTTCCCTTGCACTGCCATACACAAGTGAAGCAATTCCGAAACATTTTTTGTCTCTTTCTATCAATGTTTATTTATTTTATTTTATTTAAAGCCACCTTGATATATAATACAATACAATCTTTATTACAGTCCAGAGACCCAACAAATCGTTACAAAGCAGTGCACAATTCAGACAGCCTACCTCCAGGTTAAACAAGCATATTGTTCAGATTTAAAGATAGGGATCACTGGTTCTTGCAACCACCGATAAAAACTTCACCACTGCTAAAGTTCTAGCGTTTGTCCGGTCTTCCAATAGGAACCTGACATAGTGAGCCTCTGATTTTCCCGGGAAAGGTACCAGCAAGGGTAATATCAGTTCAGTCCTGGCTTGCTCATATTTCTCACAGTGCAGCAAAATATGTTTGATAGAATCTGTCAGTGTTATCTTCACTCCTTTCCCACATCTGTCTGCAACAGAGGGGACAGGTACGACGCCTTGAGAGCCTGCATTGGAGACTCCTTGTGTCAGAAGCTGCACCGTCTTAATGTTTTCTTGGTAAGCATGGCTTGTAGGATAAGTCTGACATTATGTCACAGAATTGTAGAGTTGGAAGAGGGACCCTGAGGGTCATCTAGTCCAGCTCTGTGCAATGCAGGAATCCTGCCCTCAGCTGTCACTGGGTGGGCTTAAACCACCAGCCAGGTTAACAGCACTGCCCTGTTGCCTTTGTTGGATAGTAGTCTGTAATATATTGCAGTAAGAAAACCCAGTGGACAAGTATTTTAGAAAGTAAAGGTAAAGGGACCCCTGACCATTAGGTCCAGTCGTGGCCGACTCTGGGGTTGCGACGCTCATCTCGCTTTATTGGCCGAGGGAGCCGGCATACAGCTTCCAGGTCATGTGGCCAGCATGACTAAGCCACTTCTTGCGAACCAGAGCAGCACACGGAAATGCCGTTTACCTTCCCACCGGAGTGGTACCTATTTATCTACTTGCACTTTGATGTGCTTTTGAACTGCTAGGTTGGCAGGAGCAGGGATTGACAACGGGAGCTCACCCCATCGCAGGGATTCAAACCACCGACCTTCTGATCAGCAAGTCCTAGGCTCTGTGGTTTAACCCACAGCACCACCCGCGTCCCTGTTTTAGAAATTACTGTTCTGTGAATTAGTTGGAACTTTGAAACTACCTTTTCCTGGAAGTTTAGAACATATAGTGGTGGGTTAAAACATGCAAAATACCCAGATGGCTCATAGTGATGCCTTTTATAGTAGGAGCTGGAATTCTGCATCTTTTGATGCATTTCAGTCCAGTATTTAACTTCAGATACTTTAGTTACGTATAATCTTCTCTTTATGGCATCTTCAATCTTTCATTTCACAATTGAAAGGCTATCTAAATTTCCAGCCAATAGATATGATAGCATGTCAATATGTCCTTGGCATAACAGTTTAGGGATTTCCCCCCCAGAATTTTGTGTATTCTAGTTTTATCAAACAAGAAGTTCAACTAAAAGTTTAGCTCTCTGAAGGATCGAAATTTATATAATGTAAGGATTGGAAATTTATCATCTATTATTTTGCAGGTTGGTTGTGGTGCGATAGGCTGTGAAATGTTGAAAAATTTTGCACTCCTTGGTGTTGGCACTGGACGAGAAAGGGGCATGGTAGGTTTGGTTTTCCATACTAATTTCAGTTCTTTTTACTCTGTTTGCAGGTTGTTTAAAAATTATTTTATGATCTTAGTAAGATCAGATCTATTATGCCTTGGGTGTAATAGAACTTGGAGGGGAATCTCTGTCCTGCCAATTTCTCCATGTAATAATGGAGAATGCTTTGTTACAACTACACATTTGGGTTCTGTAACCTCACATTTCCATGTTTTGGTTTCTGTTTTTGAACTTCCAGAAATCACAATGTATTGGAATATGTGTTTATCAGAATTCTAGGTAGTGCTGAACTACCATAGCAATTTTGATACATGTAGGTTAGTTGGTCAATCGCTACGTGGCATTTTTAGGTGATAATTTATTAGTTGTAAAAGTAAGCCTGAATTCATGCCATTTTGTAGTCCTGTTAATTGGAAAGAGCTATGATTTTGAATATATTTCTGGGCAGGAATGACTACTCAGTATAAGATGACATGCATTTTTTAGGGTAGAGGGGAAATTCTCTCTTAATAATCATTGGGGGGGGGGTAACCAAATTGAGGGCTTTCAGGACTGATTCAAACTAGAAACAATCAAAGATTTATATTAACCATAACTTGTAATTCCACCTATTTCTCCAACCTACTATAGGTTACAATTACAGATCCTGACTTAATAGAAAAATCCAATTTAAATAGGCAATTTCTGTTCCGTCCACACCATATACAGGTAAGTTGAAGTGGTTGGTGAGAAAAAGCAATTTGTGCATATTTTTGAAAAAGTCAAGTGAGGTTGTAGAATCAACTTTCTATTTTAAGAGCTACCATATTTTTTGCTGTATAAGACTCACTTTTTCCCTCCTAAAAAGGGGAAATGTGTGTGCGTCTTATGGAGCGAATGCAGGCTGCGCAGCTATCCCAGAAGCCAGAACAGCAAGAGGGATTGCTGCTTTCACTGCACAGCGATCCCTCTTGCTGTTCTGGCTTCTGAGGTTCAGAATATTTTTCTTCTTCATTTCTTCCTCCAAAAACTAGGTGCATCTTATGGTCTGGTGCGTCTTATAGAGCGAAAAATACGGTATTTTAAAGTTATTGAGGTGAATCTTCATATATTTACCCTAGGACAAAATAAATTGATTTTTTTGGTGAAGATGTGGTTAACATCAGGGCTGTATACGTAGCTCAAAAGGCAGAGCACACACCTTGCATGTAGAAGTTTGACTGATTAACGTTTTTACTTGCTTAAGTAGTGTTTATTTTAATGATTGTTGGATTTGTTTGCTGCATTTTATTGTATTGGTCTGGTTTGGATTATGTTATTCATTATACGATTAATAATTATTACCATAATTTTATTTTATTATTTATTATTTTATTAATAAACAAAATAAACCAATAAAGAACACAAAGAAATACTGTTGCAGTGGGTTGAAAGCAGCTTAAGATTGGATATTATCATTGAATTTGTTGTTCCAAAAAAATTACAAACGTTATATGTGTTCTTTGTAATAAGTTAGCTTAAACATATAATAAAAGTATTTAATCTGTTGTCCATTTTAAGTTTCTTTTGTAAATAAGGCTCAAAATTATTATTAAAAATAATGTTTTAGGTTTAACCATGGTATCTACAGTTAAAAGAATTTTGGTTAGCATGGTTGGGGGAGAGAGAGAGAGAGAGAGAGAGAGAGATATGCTATAGAGAGGCATTGCTGGTCCAGATTGCCAGTATTCTGCTGCTGTTTAATAAATAATAGCATGTTTCATCTTTCCATCCCTAAAAATAATTCTCAGTGCAGCTAACAACCACATCAGTGGAATACCATTAAAGAAAGAAATCGGGAAAGAACACCAAAATAGCAACAGCCGTATTAAATTAGTAGCAACATGAATAAGAATCCAGATTTCCGTGGGTTAAGGAAGTGTTAACTGGGTTGGGTGATAATCACGAGCTATGATGAACACAGGAGAGCAGAACTGTGGGAGGTGTAGTGACTAGATGTATCCATAGTCTTGCTTGGCTTACACGTGCTCTATAAATGGTCTCTGAGCTTTCCAGTTACAAAATACAGTCGTACCTTGGAAGTCAAATAGAATCCTGTTCGACTTCCAAGGCGTGGCTTCCGATTGGCTGCAGCCAGTTGGAAGCTGCGCCAGACTTTCATGCTTCCAAAAATCATTCGAAAACTGGAAAAATCACTTCCAGTTTTCAGTCGCTCGTGAACCGAAATGTTCGAGTTTACAGGCTTTCGGCTTCCGAAGTTCTACTGTATTTTATTTTAGGAAATGTTTTGTATCAGCCTCAATACAGAACTTTGATTAATTTTTGCTGTCAGTTCTTTCCAGAATTAAAGAGTTCAACGTGGTAGAACAGAATGCTTTATTCATTTTCTTTGCTGAAGAGTCAGCGTTACGTGTCTATTCATCTCATTATTTCATACCTCATTTCACTAAAGGGATGATTCTTTTGAGTATGTTATCAGTGATTTGGAAGCTTTTGTTTTGCATCGCAATTGCCTTTTTCCAGCAAGAATATTAACCAAAGTTGATGAATATTTTAATTTTGCTTAGAAGCCCAAAAGTTGTACAGCAGCAACAGCGACACGTAACATCAATCCTCAGATCAAGATAGACCCATATCTGAACAAAGTTTGCCCAGCTACTGAGAACGTGTACAATGATGATTTCTACACTGCACAAGATGTAGTTGTTACTGCGCTAGACAATGTGGAAGCAAGGAGATACATTGACAGGTAGGTGCATAATCTGAGAGTTAAATTTGTACCCTTTCCCACCCTTCGTAGCATTTCTGTCCTTGTCACCCTTCGTGGCAGCTTTCTTGGCACAGCTGTGGATAATTCAAAACCAGTTGCCTTAAATCCACTTCAAGCCATGTTTTTAATCTCCTGGTTTGTTTAAAATTAGTTTAGTAATATATATATATATATATATATACACATACATACATACATATATATGCCACCATTGTGAAATGGTGAGCACAGCATGTCTTTTTTGTGAAAAAATGCCTCAATAGCTCTATTTGAATCAACTTTTACTACTACGACGGGTTATTGTTCTACTAGTTTTACTGGAATTTCTGATTGGGAATGTTAACTTGATTAATGACCCAACAATGTGTAGTTGCAAATGTATCTAATGTTACAGATAGGTAGCCGTGTTGGTCTGCCATAGTCAAAACAAAAAAAATTCCTTCCAGTAGCACCTTAAAGACCAACTAAGTTAGTTCTTGGTATGAGCTTTCGTGTGCATTGTATCTGAAGAAGTGTGCATGCACACGAAAGCTCATACCAAGAACTAACTTAGTTGGTCTTTAAGGTGCTACTGGAAGGAATTTTTTTTGTTTTGACTATGGCAGACCAACACGGCTACCTATCTGTAACTGGAACTATGGAAGGCACCACATTGAGCCGCATGAAATGGAAGTCCATCAACCTCACCAAGAAACTTGCACAGGTACAGACTGATATCTTCTTTCTTACTAAATGCAAGAACCTGGACGTTATACCCAAGGGTCTTAGAATTAAGAACCCTCTACAATCCACGTATCCCACTGAATATGCAAGAAAACTATGCAACACTTTCTCTAAGGTATCTGAAGAAGTGTGCATGCACACGAAAGCTCATACCAAGAACTAACTTAGTTGGTCTTTAAGGTGCTACTGGAAGGAATTTTTTTTTGTATCTAAAGTGTTATGGAATCTCATGGGGGGGCCTGCTTACAAATGCATTGGGTTTGTGACACTTTAAAATATATACATCTGGTAGCAAGCCCAAGGCTTGCTCCTACACTACACTATGTGCTCTGACTGTGCATGGTCTAGAAGTATATAAATCTGAGGTCCTAACTTGATGCAACACCATTCACATAGCAACTGCGTGAATAGGTGGTGCTTGTTTTTAAAGAGAAGATAGCCAGCACAATTTGGGACTACTTCTATACTGTAAACAGCCCTGTGGTCCTCGGATGAATGGCAGTGTATAAATTTAATAAAATAAATGAATTCCACTAGCCCCCAATCTGGATTGGACCCCAAGCCTTTAACTTCTTTGCTCTCCCCTGTGCTCTGATCCAGATTGGCCCCTTGCCTCTACCGTTGGTGCTAAGAAGCAACAAAGGACAGATGGGCAGATAAACACTGTGTTACATTTGCATTGGGAAACTTTTGCCCCTTTTCTCTAATGTTGCTGTATAGTGGTACTGACACTCAGCATCTTAGGCTCAAGATACTTAAAGGGCTGCCTCCTCCCAAATGAGTGTATGTGCTCAGTAAGACCTACTGAAGAGGTGTTTCTCCATGTTGTTAGAGGAAGTGTGGCAATAGAGAGCCTTCCCTGTGGCTGTTTCTAAGCTGTAGAATTCTTCCTAGGAAGGCTCATCTTCTGCAAACCACAGAGGCATAAAGATTGAGAAAAAAGGAAGCAAAGCAGATTCTGATCACAGGGCATTTCCGGAATTTTGCATTTCTTAGTTACTGTTCTCAGTTGCGTTAAAATGTAGGCACTGGGTGTGATATGGCCAGGCCTTGGTTCCATAGAGCTGTTTCTCCATCTAGAGTTTTGGTGCTTTAGATTACTGTCTGAAATATGTTTCAAAATCTTGCTCAGGTGCAGGAATTGTGTGCCTTAGGTATTAATATACTTGCCTATTCCGTGGAGATAATGCATTCCATTAATGATATGCTTCCTCAAACCACATTCTTGCCTTTCTTTGGCCTTATGAAGACCTTCCTTTTTTGACTTGCCAAATTGAAGATCTTTTCCTGATTCACCAAATCTATATTGGATTTATCAGTAATTTTTAATTTATTCATGATATAAATGGTTTTAAACTTGCCAAGCATTATTTTTAATTGGAAAGCCAGTAGATAAATGAAAATACTCTTTTTGGTTATAGGGATAGGCCACTAGTTAATTCCTGCAACGACTGAAATCCCTTGTTTTAAACCAATTAAACCAAAGCCATGAGGTCATACCATGGTTTTTGTCCCCCCCCCCCCCCGCACTCTGGCATCTATCCTGATGCATTCATTTTCTTCACTTATTTTTTTCTATTTAGTCGCTGTCTGGCAAGCTTGCGCCCTCTCTTAGATTCCGGAACGATGGGGACCAAAGGGCATACAGAAGTCATTGTGCCTCACCTAACAGAATCGTACAACAGTCATGTAAGTGCTCCATTTACAAAAACAATGTACCGTACTTTTCCGCGTATTAGATGAGGGTTTTTTACTCCAAAATAAAGAAAAAAAGGGGGGGGTTGTCTTATACATGGGTAGTGCAGAGGGGGAGATGGCTGCATCCGCAAGAGGATGATCTAGCGATCGTTAGTGTTTGCCAGTTGGGTGAGCGATATTTGGTTCAGCATCCCCCCCCCCCAAAAAAAATTGCTCAACAGCTGTGGGCATCCCCCCCCAAAAAAAAGCTCAACAACTCTGTGCCATCTCCCCCCATTTTCTTAAAATTGACCCCCCCCCCAAATAGGGGGTGCCTTATACATGGGGGCGCCTTATAGATGGAAAAGTACTGTACTTAGCTTGATGAATCCATATCTCTTCCTTACTCTTCCATAAAGTGCGTGGTCCTTTGGAACATTCTTGTAGATGCATTGTAAAATCACAGAGCTGGCTCTAAGTGCACTCAGGAGCTTGGCCATGCCCATTGTGATCTCTCTCTCTCTCCTCCCCCCCCTCCACTTTTTAAAACTTTGAATTCCAAATCCCAATGCTGCTTTTGAAAGGCCCCTCAGTTTCAAAAGTGGTTTGCTATGTGCCAAAGCGGGGGGGGGGGGGGATTGCATGGCTTTGTGAATGCCAGTCAATAAAGTGTATATATGCCAAGAGGTAAAAAGTTCTTTTAAGAGCTCAATTAATTGTATTGTATAGAGTGGTATTTTTTACTGGGGCTTTTATGGCAATCTGCTTCTGTGAGGTCGATACTTTTGGAAACCTTCTTGGCCTTGTAACAATTCAATTTGGGTTCTGTATGTGTGGATATATGTATATCTCAAAATAAATATTCATTTGTAAAGAAAAATATAGTAACCTGTCAGTAATTGATACTAAAAGCACAAACCTATACATGAGTGCTTGGAAGGAAGTTCAGTTGAATTCATTGGGACTTGTTCCCAGGCAAGTATGTATAGCAGGGGTGGGGAACCAGAGCCCTTCAAATCTTGATAGACTCCAGCTCCCATCAACACCAGCCAGCAGTGGCAATAGGCAGGGATGTTGGGAGTTTGTAGTCCAGGAACATCTGGAAGACCATAGGTTTCCTACCCCTGGAAACCTCTTGTGGAAGACAGGAGTGCCTGGCGTGCTCTGGTCCATGGGGTCACGAAGAGTCGGACACGACTAAACGACTAAACAACAACAACCCCTGGAGTACAGAAAGAAATTGATCTGATATTAGAAATAAATAATGCAAGAGGTAAAACAGCTGCATGTGTACATGATACATTTTGATCTTTTGTCCTTTTTTTTTTTTACATGTAGCGAGATCCACCTGAAGAAGAAATACCATTTTGTACTTTAAAGTCTTTCCCAGCTGCCACTGAGCACACAATACAGTGGGCAAGAGACAAGGCAAGTTTGTCTGTTTGTTATTGCATGATATATTGCAGGGGGTTGGATTAGATGACCCTCGTAGCCCCTTCCAACTCTACAATTCTGTGATTATGGGCACAATTCAGTGGGAAGTTCTCTTGCACTGAAATGAAGGAGAATTACACATTTCAGTAAGGGCACCAACATACCCCACCCCCCAAAAAACACAGTTGGAGATGGGAAGGAAATCCAATGCTATTTTCTCATAACTCCTTTTCTTTTAGTTTGAAAGCGCTTTTTCACACAAGCCTTCCCTGTTTAACAAGTTTTGGCAAACGTATCCATCAGCAGAAGAGGTGTTACAGGTAATAGCTAACTTTATTGCGCATAAAGCTACTCTGGATGTCGTTTTAACTTTGCTGTGCTGAGCCTTGCAAAGAGATAAATAATTACCTGACATTCAGAAGACATCTTAAGGCAGCCCTGTTCAGGGAAGTTTTTAATATGCAACACTGTACTGTTTTTAACACTGATTGGGAGCCGCCCAGAGTGGCTGGGGAAACTCAGCCAGATGGGCGGGGTATAAATAATAAATTATTATTATTATTATTATTAGCTGGTAATATGGACTGATTTTAATACAGTGGTGAAATCTAACTAAGACCCCTATGTTTTCATGCTGTTCCAGGCTTGGGGTATACAAAGGTTTGGACCGGAGTAGCAACTTAATTCTACCTAGAAAGGAAAGCGAATTGGGCGGAATTTGCATTTTAAGCTTCTTTTGAATAATTTCAAGGGCTTGGTGCAGGTATTCTAAATAGCAGTAGCAGATGAATCTGAGGAACTTCCATTTTACAGCTGCTGGTTTTAGTCTCTGCATGTTTCACTGTTTGTCAGAAGCAGTTAGTAAAAATGATATGCATTTCAAATTGTATTAGTTGATTGGGGTAGACAAAATGTTCCCTTCTGGGTGTTTTTGACTACACATCACATCAGCCCCAGCCAGAATTGCCAGTCATCAGGGATGATGGGAGTTGTAGTCTAAAAAAATCTGGAGGGTGCCGTGTTCGCTGTCCCTGTAGTACGTTGGTCCAGTTTACTGGTTTCCATCTAAATGGAAGCAGGAAATGAATTGTGACGTGGGTGATACTTCATGAATAATAATGGGTTTGCTGACTTGTGCGTGTTCTCCCATTTCCACCTTTATTTTCCCTTTCCTAGAGAATAAAGTCTGGCGAGAGTTTGGAAGGCTCTTTCCAAGTTATTAAATGCCTTAGTAGAAGGCCCAGAAGTTGGCCCCAGTGTGTTGAATTAGCAAGATTAAAGTTTGAGAAATATTTTAATCATAAGGTGAGCATTTGAGATCTGTTTTAATCTGGTGGCTGATGCTATGATTTCTTTAAATTGTCAATTTGCAATGTGCATTTAATGCTCGCTGAGCTGTTGTCTAAACCTTTTTAACATGAGGGGAAGACCTCAGTGGTTTCACTAGCATTGGATTATCTTTTATCTTGAAATGATGTCAGTTGTATTGGTAGACATACTTTTCTTTAAAAATCCAAATAATTCTTACTGCTTTTCATTTTAATACAAGAATAACATATAACTACAGTTACTAAGTTTCATATGCTGTAGACAGTACACAAGCAATATGTTTATTTATGCATTGTCAATTCAAATATCCTCTCCATAGAGATTATTGTGTTGTGGGTGGAATAAAAGTATATTCTGTCTCATTTATAAAGGAAAAGAATGGAAGCCAAGTCTTGCCAAAGGTGTCTATCCTTGAAGTGCCTTAAATTACCCTTCTATGGCAAGTAAGGCATTCCGATAGAGCTACATTTGGTAGACATACTTTACATAGCTGTCAACTTACAGATTTGAAAATAAGGGACCTGCAGCCTCACCTGTTCCAGGCACTCCAGTCTTCCTGTCCTCCTGCAGTCTGGTCAAACTCATGCTGGGTAGCTTCGAGAACACTGTCCAACCAACTTTGTAACCAGCGGTTCAACTGAATAGAATCTGAATCACATGCACCACAAGGCCTATGCAGCCTCAAGTTAAGATGGCTCCCCGGCCTGGCTTTGCACTGCAAAGTTTGCAGCAGCACGTGCAACAAAATGGCGCCCAGCATTCAAAAACCTCCTCAGCTTGCATTAACTAGCCACACACAAGGCATGCAAGCTCCACCCCCCCAGTCGTTCTTAGGCTTCTTATTGGGTGAGCAACACAGCCAAGCAACACAGTTGGAGCCTTCCTCCTCCCTGGCCGGGAGGGAGAGGAGCTGCTTCCTTTGAAATTTAAGGGACATCCATCAATAAGGGACAGCAGCGGGCCATGGCGCTGGAATAAGGGACTGTCCCTTCAAATAAGCGACACTTGACAGCTATGACTTTAATTCCTTCATTATTTAGATACGGAACTCAAAACAATTTTGCTTAGGGACGAATTTGCCAGAAAGTGTTTTAGAACTGAATATTTTAATAGCTAATGAGAATGCTTTCTACCTTTCTGTTAAAAACACGGTTGGCTTTAGAGCAGCAGAATGAATTGCAAGGTTTCAGTAATGTGAACAAGTGCTGATGTACGTTATCTCACTAAATTGAGAGTATTTCTTCCCATCTAGGCACTCCAGTTACTTCATTCATTTCCCATAGACACACGATTAAAAGATGGCAGTAAGTACAGTAAAAGTTTAATTAATTTTGATATGATTGATGTATTTTTAACTTTAATCATTTTAAGATTCAAAATGCTTTCTTTCAAACCACCAGGTTTATTTTGGCAGTCACCAAAGAGACCGCCTTTCCCGATACAGTTTGATATCAACGATCCTTTGTGAGTAAATCTCTCTCTTTCCACTATTGTTATTGTAAGGGGCAAAGAACTTCACATGATCTGTTTGTGGGCATATTGATACTCATATAAAAGGTGTGTTATTAGACGATCTCTTCAAAGAAGATGTCCTAAAAACCTATATGGCCTTTAGAATAATCTGTTGACTCCTCTAATCTGAAACCCACCCACATCAAATAATGTGTAACTTTGTGACTTCTTTCCTTTCGACAGCAGTTTTTTCTTTGAGTATTTGCCATACATCAAACTTCAGATATCTTCATGAGAGTTGCCTCATGTGCATGTTTGTTTATGCTGCCCCCCCCCCCCCAGTTTTCTTGTTCGCATTTTCCATGCAAAACTGCAGTTCAACTTTAGGCAGCATTTTGGGGATTTGCTGTAAGCATCTACTAAGAACGACAGTTCAAATTTAACATTATCAATTCCTGAGCAAAATAGATATTGACTGGACATTTCTACTTCCAAGTCTTACATTACCCCTTTCTGCTTTCCGACAACCAACATCTCCATATGGCAAACCTTCACTGTGCTTCCAGTCTCTGTATGATCCACAGTGAGCTCTGAAGGATCCCTGTAGTGCGGTTTTGCATTCCTTCAGAAGCAGTGCCAGGGCTTGCATCTCATAATCCTTCCTTTTGCTTCATTTAAAAGGAGAGAGGAAGTGCAAGCAGTCTACATTTTGGGTCTGGAATATTAGCACTTCCTGGCAATGTCAAGTTCCTAAAGAAGGTTCTCTGCCCCTCTTATTTTGAACTATCCAGTTCTGCTCCTCTGTTTGTCACTTTTATTTTTCATGTGTGCTGCATATTTAGCAGGCAGCTTCCTTTAGTTCTTGCTCCCTCTTGCTCCCAGCTTTGTGACTTCTGCCAGACTTTTCCTTATAGCTTGAACAGCATCCTCCTCTGTTAAGTCATATCATTCTGCACCTCCCATCTTTCCCCAGTTCTTTCTCTTCACTTTTTAAAAAAGAATTCATCATAATTAGATGGGTGAACTCTGAACTCACACTTCTGCATGCTATACATTACAAAGTACAGGTCATTCCTACATATATGTTCATGGTTGTAGACTGAAGGGATTTGTTATGTGAAATTTCTCTGAAGTAGGTGTATTCTGAATCTTTGCCACTTAAAAGCAAACACGCTAAGCAGGTAAGCATTTTCTCAAAGGCAACCTTGCCCCCTGTTCTTTCAGCCCCTCTGCTTCACTTGCTCAGTGAATTTCTTCTCCTTCCCACCCCACCCACTGTTAGCTAGGTTTGCAGTATATCGGAATGCAGGAAAATGGAGTAAAAACCCACCCCGATCTCCTTTTTCCTTCAGGCACTACAGCTTCATATTGAGTACAGCAAAATTATTTGCAGTTATTTACTGCATCCCTTTTACAGAAAAGGTAAGCCTTCAGCTGGAGGGTGTAGAATTTGCACTGTTTGGCTCTCTGTGATAATTTTTCAGAATCCTTTGATAAGTGAAGCGTTTTTGTTACAAAGGAAAAATATGTTCCAAAATCCAACTTTTAGACAAAGCATTACTCCTGCTACTGGCAGTGACTGAATTACCTTCAGGAATCTTCAGTATGTCCAAAGATGCTTTGAATAAGTTATGAGACCTATATCCCTCCTCAATGAATTATTCTTCCTGATATTTCACTTTGATAGAATTCTTTCTTGCAACGTATTTTGACAGATGCACTGAAATCTAATCTTGTCGCCTGGACTATTGTAATTTGTGTCCTGGCCAATCTCTACTTTTAATAATGCACTTGCAAACTAACTTAAAATAAATGCAAAATTGACTTCCCTTTGTGTATATTTATGTGTCTGGTGTGAAAGCAATATCTATTAGTCCACATGCATTTTTTTTTAAAAAAATGAGTTTTATTTGGAATGTGTGCAAGGTATACAAGGTTCAGCTTTTGTAGAAGAGTTTGCTAGGAAATGTTCATAATCCACACACTTGATAAGTTATAGGTTCCTTGGACATTTATTGCAATAAGTGGATTCTTAATTAGTTTTCGCTTAAAGTTGAAGAGCAGAGCACACGTGGTTTCACCCATTCATGCTAACTGGTGCTGTTTTAACAAAACACAGGATATGTCAGAAGAAACCATTTTAAAGATCATTTCCGGACTGAGGATTCAAGAGTTTCGGCCTTCTAACAAAGTAAGCTCATTTAAATAATATTCCTCTTCACTACTCCCCTTTTCTTGATGATCCGTTATTTATTCATCCTACGCATGATATTCTGTAGGCTGCTTCCCAGTTCTCCAGTATTGTAGCAGTTGCCATGAAGTCACTGCTCTCTCTTGGCTTCTGGCTTACCTTTATAGGGCGGCTGTAAACAATATGACCATGTAATTCAGGCATAGGCAACCTCGGCCCTCCAGATGTTTTGGGACTACAGTTCCCATCATTCCTAACCACTGGTCCTGTTAGCTAGGGATCATGGGTGTTGTAGTCCCAAAACATCTGGAGGACCGAGGTTGCCTATGCCTGATGTAATTTGTGCCAGGGCTTGGAATACTCTAAAGCAGGAGGGAGGAAGCTGTGGCCCTTTAAATGTTGTTGGACTCCAACTCCCATCAGCCCCAGCCAGCATGCCCTATTGTCAGAGATGAGCGGAGTAGTAGTCTGGCAACATCTGGACAGCCACAAGCTCCCCGTCCCTCTTCTATAAGTGTTTCCGTACTAATATTTAGCATGCAAATATTTCCAGGTTTTTGGTTAAATGCTTACTAAAATTGATGCAAGAATTTGTAAAACGAACTTTCCGACAACAAAGGTAAATTATATTTAGTGTAGACCTGGTTTTCTTAGCGCAAAGCCCCTCCTTCGGTGATATAGTCTTAGGAAGCATGTTTCCAAAAATTGTTGGAGACGTGCTGGAAATGTGCTGTTTGTGCCAAACCCCACATTTACAGAAATTATTAGACTCTGTTTAAGTGCACATGCAGTTCTGCCTTAAGTTTCTAATTGTAGGCTCATAGGTTCCATCTATGTTTGTACTGTTGATTTTTAGACAGAGTTAATAAACTACTTTAGTATCGCTCCAAAATGTGGTGTTTTAGAACAGTTGTGGGTCACTTCTGGCCTGTGGACCTGATTGGGCCCAGTAAGGGTCCCAGCTTGGCCCATGAGGCCATTTTCCTCCAAGCCATGCTCAACTCTTTTCCCCCTCCCTCATTCCGGCACATGAGCTCAGATATACGACTGGAGCCTTTGACATAGCTGCAAAGGAAGAATCATGAGAGCCTTCAAGGCTTGAAGTTGGTGCTTTGTGAATTGCAAAGCATAGCTCTGGGGTGTAGCTGGTGCCTGATGAAATTTAGGCTTGCCAGCTAATTGGCAGTGACTTAAAGCTTGCTTGGATCAGCTACACCTGGGATTTTTTGATTTCAAACTCTGGAATGTAGTTGGTCCAAGTAGGGCTTGAAATTATCAGCAATGTTGCCAAGCCCCACTTGAATTGGCTGGGAAGGTGTTCCTTTGCGGTGCCTCTTGAGTTCAAGCCACATTGCAAAGGAAAAATGGGTCATCTGGTGTCATGGTGATGACAGGTGAGTGGCCCCGCCTGTCAAAGCAGCTGCCGGAGTGGGGGACCTCAGGATCCAGGCCACCAGGCTGAAAATGTTCCCTCATTTTACATTTAAAAAAATAAAAATAAATGTCCAGTAGCACCAACTAAGTTTGTTCTTGGTATGAGCTTTCGTGTGCATGCACTCTTCTTCAGATTATCATTTTACATAATATTGCAACTAAAAAATACAGGGGTTTTTTCTATTTGACTAAAACGTTATTTATTGATGAATAACTCCATCTGCTTCAATAAATCAAGGTATTGTACAGAAATAGATTCACACACTAACATTTATTCTATTTACTTTTGATGTTCTCAGGTTGTACAAACAGATGAAACGGTGAGGAAACCAGATCCCATTCCGATAAGCAGTGAGGATGAAAGGAATGCTGTACTTCAGTTGGAGACTGCCATATTGGCCAATGAAGCTACAAAAAGTGAGTATTCTTTAACAATTCAGAAACCATTTATTCAAAAGTTACAATACATTTCCAGTCAATATATTTCTATCGGATCCTTTTAGCTCAGATAGAATCATTAGCTCAAATAGAATCACTCAAGGCAGAGAATATCAACATGAGCACATTAAACTCATAACACCCTGAACAGATAAGCAGGGTTGGTGGGAATACAAGAGACCAAGGAATATAGGTAAAAGGAACCCAGATCGCAAAATGAAATAAACTGTTACTTAGGCCAAACATATCTAATGATGGCGCCAGGTGAGCCTCCCTGAACCCAGTACCAAAATTGGCTAATATAATCTACTCACAAGATGGAGAAGGCTTTCATTCAACCGAACTAACAATGTATTTCATTAAATTGCATTGCAGGGTGTTGGATTAGATGACCCTTGGCACTCCTTCCAATTCTATGATTCTGTGAACTAAAAGACCACAGATTCCTAAACAATGAATTAATTTGTTTCCGAACAGATGATTTACAAATGAAGGAACTCGCTTTTGAAAAGGATGATGACAGTAACGGGCACATAGACTTCATAACAGCAGCTTCAAATCTGCGAGCCAAAATGTATAACATTGAACCAGCAGATCGGCTCAAAACAAAACGGATTGCCGGAAAGATTATCCCAGCCATTGCAACTTCCACAGCGGCTGTGTCTGGCTTGGTGAGTGAGGGCGCATTTTTCGCGAATGCTCGCTTCTCTGCTGGGTTGGCCAAACCTTGCAAGGCAGAAGGCTCTCTTCCTATATTAGCAATGTTAGTTTGTCATGGGAATAGAAGGTAGTCTCATTTTAATTCTTGGCCTTAATTTTCCTTTGATGGAGTCAGCATGTCAGCTGTAGGAAAGAGGTGATATAAGCAATTTATGGGGTGGGAAAATGGAAACATTTGCTGCAGTTTTTCCTAGTTATCGCATATACCTTCATAACTGTTAATGGATTAAAGAGCAGCCTGGGGCACACTGTTGGGTTTAAATTCAGAGATTTTTTTCTGATCTTCCAGACTGATTCCAGACTACTTTGGTTCATGTTGCATATTGTACAGATCAGAACAGCTACATCTTCTTTAGTTCTGTGTTTGTAAGCTACTGCAAATTTTTCCCACTTCTTACATTTCTTCCCTAGGTTGCTTTGGAATTGATCAAAATTGTGGGTGGCTACCCCTTTCAGGCATACAAAAACTGCTTTTTCAACTTGGCCATTCCGATAATTGTCTTCACAGAAACAGCTGAAGTGAGGAAAACTGAAATAAGGTAATTGGCACATATGAATGATTCAGCAATGGGTGTATTCAAGTAGCAGATTTTGGCAGGTAGTGCATCTGGGATAATGACTCCTCCTGGCTATACAGGCAGCGTCAATTTGACACCCACGAGCGTGGAAATTTATAGGAAAGTGACCTGTTTCCTCTTTTGCTATGCTTTGTGGTGGGAAGCTTGTGTTCAACTTTTTAGTTATTACCAATACTAAATGATTGAAAAATGTGCTGCAGCACAGTGTCTTGGATAAAGTGTTTTACATTCTTGCTCTCTGACAGAAATGGAATATCTTTTACAATCTGGGATCGATGGACTATTTATGGGAAAGATGATTTCACACTCTTGGACTTCATAAACGCTGTCAAAGTAAGCAATTTGTGATAAACAGGCAGTAGAAACAGATGGAGGAGATAGTGTTGCTGTTTTTCGTTCTGGTGGACTGCAGTGTGGTATACAGCCCATATAATTTACTACTTTACAAAAGTTGTAATCCATTCTGTCTATGGAGGTTCATGTTCTGTAGCATATGGAGTGGGAAAACATGTCACGTCTACTTCATTTTTTTACTGGAACTTTTGATTCTTCCTAGAGAACTGCCACCTAGCATCCACAGGCAGAAAATTCAGATTCCCAGTCCCCTGTCTGCCTGCTGTCCAGATGGTTCTGTTTTTCTTCCCTCATTTCTAGCCTTGCTTTTTTACTGTTGTGTGTCTTCTTTCCTTTTGTATTTGCTTATTGTTGTATTGGTGAATTTTGACTGTTTTTGGAGCATTTTCAGTCTCTTTTTCTTCACACAAGTCCTTCTCTCGCTTTCCCCCTTAGGGGTTTTTTTTTTGGGGGGGGTCTTCTGGTCCCCTGATTTTATTTGGGGTAACAGGGTGGTTTTGTTTTTTTCTCAAGCGCAGTCTGGTTTTTTTTTTAATAAACTGTCATATCTCCTAAATTTCTAACCAGTTCACTTTCTGCACAGTATAGTTCCAAATATTGTTGTATTTGTGTGTTACAGGAGAAATACGGAATTGAGCCAACTATGGTGGTGCAGGGAGTTAAAATGCTGTATGTTCCTGTAATGCCTGGGCATGTCAAAAGATTAAAGCTGACGTAAGTATTAACTAGAGACGCGGGTGGCACTGTGGGTTAAACCACAGAGCCTAGGACTTGCCGATCAGAAGGTTGGCGGTTCAAATCCCCGCGACAGGGTGAGCTCCCGTTGCTCGGTCCCTGCTCCTGCCAACCTAGCAGTTCGAAAGCACGCCAAAAAGTGCAAGTAGATAAATAGGTACTGCTCTGGCGGGAAGGTAAACAGCGTTTCCATGCGCTGCTCTGGTTCGCCAGAAGCGGCTTAGTCATGCTGGCCACATGACCCGGAAGCTGTACACCGGCTCCCTCGGCCAGTAAAGCGAGATGAGCGCCGCAACCCCAGAGTCGGCCACGACTGGACCTAATGGTCAGGGATCCCTTTACCTTTAAGTATTAACTAAATAGTAAAGCTGAAGGGGGTATGCAGTATATTAGCTCACAGATAGCATGATTCTTCCCAGATTTTGTTTAGTTCATGCTCTGTCAGCTTGTTCATTGAGGATCAGATTCTGAATGGCAGAGGTTTTCCAATTCACCACCCTGGTATTTTGAACAGCATTATTTTAAGATTGAGAGCATTGCTGGCATGGCAGATGAGAGAAGGGCTAGAGAGGAGGGTAGCCCAATATTATTTAAGTCACCTTCTATTCATCTTGCTAGTCACATCCCATTGCCATATCGCCTCCTCTGTGCATACTGAATCACAGCGTCTTGCCCTTCCCAGTTGCATCACTTGCCCAAACACATGACAAATGCAGGACAAAGCAAGAAACAAAAATTTAATTAACCCCATTCTCTCCCCCCTCCTAGCTCCATAGTTCATAAGATCAGCTTTAGCCATCTCCCTTCTAGACCTGTGGTGTCTTGGAATGCAGGACTTGCCAGATCCAGATTCGTTGCATCTTTAACAAGTTCTCTCATATGGGTTGCAATTTGAATTTGTTTGTGGTACTTCAGGAGAGCTTGGTTCATTTATGATGCCCTGCTGATACTTGATTTTTGTCTTGTAGAATGCAAAAACTTGTGAAACCAGCAGCGAATAAGAGGTATGTGGACCTTACAGTATCATTTGCTCCAGAAACAGATGGTGAAGAAGACTTGCCGGGACCACCAGTTCGATACTATTTTGCCCACGAAAATAACTGATGCAGGCCTACCGTTTACAGCATAGCAGGACCACATGCAAGGAGTGTGGCACCATTTTTTAAATGGTACTATATACTTGGTGAAGCCTTAATTCAGAAACAAAACAGTGGAAATTTGTGAGATGTACTAAGGAGCTCCATAGCAAATCGGACTTTTAATTTCCTTGTATGTAGCATTTTCATAGCTATCTATACCTAAGGAGGACTGGAAGCTTGCTGGAAATGATGGTTCTTTTTGAAGAAAACACACTTATTAAGCACTGCAGGAAGACCAGAACTGCAATCATAAAACCTGATCACAGACACTGACCATTAAAGGAGGTGGCAGTTGAGATTTGAAGAAGCTGCCAATTTATACCATCCTAAAACTGATTTCCTTTTGTTTTGTTTCATCTTGGCCCCTAAGCCAGTTCATCCCGCTGACGTTCATTTCAGTAACACAGCTATTCTTTTTCCCCTTCTGATGCTGATAGCACATTTGAAATGTTGCTTTGGAATAGAGTCATAGTGAGGAGAAGCTGAGCTCTTGTAAAGTTAGGTTTTATGTTCTTCTAAAAATAATAATTATGTCTTTCCTTGTAAATCAGAAACAACACCAATTCTGTTCCAGGCAGCGATTGTCAGGGCTAGTTTGCTTTTTCGTACTGGTTTTATTTAATAAGCTTGGTAATTCGTTCTTCGTATGAAGAGTTTAGCCCAGTACATTGAACTGAATTGAAAATACAAGTGTGGGGCTTTTAGCTGAAACTTGTCAACTGCCACATCCTTCAACTGCCACCTCGGGTCAGAGTGAACACCTGGTGACAGAACCACATATTTTTACACCTTGATCTGCTTCAATCACATAGGAAGAAAGGGATGGGTCCTATTTTGGCAGTAAAAAGAATATACGATGGAAGGCATTCCTCTCTGGCCAATACTTTTCTCCCTGCAAGCCCTTCACCCCCAAGTGTTCTGCTCTGAGCCAAGCTCACTTGCAGTACTAGCCACAGACTGATAAAGTAAGCCTGCAGTGGCAAGAGGGTGTAGCAGTCTTTGCCCACACCACTTTTGTTGCTCAAAAATTAGCCCATGCACCTGCCGCATTCTTACGGAATAGGGCAGATCCAGGTTTAAACACACTGTTTACATCCCCAGGATACTGAATTATGCCATCAGTGCTATTGTCTGACCACTGGCGCTACTTGGTTGCGTATTAGACCCCCCCCCCCATCAGCTTTTAAAGGTTTCGCAAACGCTGGCCATAACTCAACATGGACCTTGGCATGCTTAAGCCCAAATCAGGGTGCTTAAATGTGTTCAGTTCTGTGTTAGGTTGTGACCTCTTATTTTAAAACTGCAAAAGCTTCCTGCCTGCCGCCACTTGGTGTGACAGTTCTGTAAAGCATGTTAATATACATATTCCATTTTGCCTGAAACGAGTGATTAACAAAACAGTTTAGACAGCCATATTTAAATAGTCCTGTACAAAATATACTAGGAGGCAGAGAAACAACTTCGGCCATAGTCTGTATGAAATGGCAGTTTGCTGCATATACATCATGGCCCATTTTGCTCATCTGTGTAGCACTTGAAGGGTAATGCTGTTGCTTATCATCTTCTCTTCCCCTTATTCCCCTCCATGCTTTGCTAGAGAAGTCAAATCCACATTCAACACTGTTAGAGCTTTTTAAAAAATCACCAGGTGTCTACAAAGGCTTCAGAGTGTGTCCCTAAAGTGAGTTCCTTGGTTACATCAATATTTTCTGACATTATGACATACAGTTTCTCCGGCTTCGTATTTCTAAAGGCACATGAGTACCAAATACATTTTTCCATAAATATTTGGAAAATAGTCTTAAAATGTAATTAATGCTACACAAATGTGTTTCCCCAATTATACAGATGATAGTTTATTATATTTTGTTATAGTTTATAATATTTGATTTGACAACTGGCTGATTAATTTATTTTAACAACAAATATTTCTTATGGCAGTGGGAGGTGGGAAGATACACTTGTGACAGTGGGGCGTGGAGGGGTGCTGAAGCTTTTGTTTATGTTGCCATAGTGGCAATAGAGGTATATATTTCAAATAAAAGCTTTGATCTTTATGCTTTAAATACTTTTGGAAAAAGCAAAGTACCGTGAGCTCAGAAAGCTATAGAAGATGGGTAGAAATAATAATAATAAAAAAGAATGGCTGTCATGAACTTCCAGTGGAATGCAATGAGTGTTTTTCACAATCTGGATGTGATCATGTCTTGTACTAGCATTAATATTATTTATTTGTCTGTGGGGTTACTAATCAGTGTTCAAAAGTAAGAACTAGACTATCTTTGCATTTGCAAAATTGCATTTGATGTCATACATCAGTAGGCTTGAAACCGAAGAACCTTTTCCAGCAAGTCTTCCTTGCAGACCTTACAGTATAGAAAATTACAGAACAGGTAGCAAAAACAACATACAGATCTCCCTACCTGTTGCGCAGCCCCTTAGTCTTATCTTGAGGATTATTCTTCTCACATAAGTGATCTCGGAGTGATTTCAGTTTTAGTAATATAGATAGATGTGTACACACACACACACACACACACGGACTCTACACTTCCGCGGTTTGTGTTATCTCTGAATTTATTTCAGTACATTTTGAAGTGGGAGTGGGGTTTGTGTACACAAGATATGATGTACAGCCAAAGCAGTTATGAAAACTGCTTTTTGTCTTTTTCACATTAAATGATTTGAAAACATACAGTCAAAATATGCATGGCTTTGTCAATGGTTTCTAATAAGATACGTTGCCGTATGCAGTGTGTGGATCATTGAAAATGCTTCTATAACTAGCAGTCCATGCAGAAAACTGGGCGCATCATTTAAGGTGTGTGAACCTGAGATAATGAACTAGTGTGGGTGGGTGTGTATCATTCATAAGATCATTCTATAGCCAAAATACCTGGGCAGGAATAAATTCTTTAAGCCCTTTGTATTCCACCTGCATTGGGGCCCTTTTTGCGGGTGCGAGCCAGGGGTGAATTATACATACACGCTTTTGATTTATGGGCCCTCTAGTCTAGAGAAACATTTATTTCCGATAGTGCACTTGTACCTGGTTATGTAGGGAGAGCAGTGTTTTTCTTGGGCACTCCCAATTACTTACATTTTTCTACACAGGTTGGCTATTTTGGCTGTGCCAAGATGCCCTTGGCTGTGCCATACACCTCCACATGAAGCTCTGGGCCAGACAGGGTGCATTGGCACCTGGAACACAACACTCTTATTATTTACTTGCATGTACAATTTATCCTCATCCAAAGTATATTTTGGGGCGGACACATCTAGTTACTATTTTATTATTCTTTGGTGCCACGTCTTTGCGATCATTTCAGAAGAATGGTCATCCTGATGGATCCAGTTTATTCTTGTGCTTGAACGCGTCCCCTGATTGTTGCTGGCATCCAATGGAGTGTGCCTCTGGGGGTGAAGTTAAAACCACTGAGTTAGCAGGAGTGAAATGACGTCCCTGGGGCACAAGCCTAGACATTGTGCATGGAGGTCCTGGGCTGCCCAGACAACAAGACCCGCCCTGCCTGCCCCCCCCCCCCCCCCGGCCTCAAAGCAGAGCAAGACATTTGGCGCTAGCTTAGCTACAGCGGGTGGCACTGTGGGTAAAAGCCTCAGCGCCTAGGGCTTGCCGATCGAAAGGTCGGCGGTTCGAATCCCCGCGGCGGGGTGCGCTCCCGCTGCTCAGTCCCAGCGCCTGCCAACCTAGCAGTTCGAAAGCACCCCCAGGTGCAAGTAGATAAATAGGGACTGCTTACCAGCGGGAAGGTAAACGGCGTTCCGTGTGCTGTGCTGGCTCGCCAGATGCAGCTTTGTCACGCTGGCCACGTGACCCGGAAGTGTCTGCGGACAGCCCTGGCCCCCGACCTCTTGAGTGAGATGGGCGCACAACCCCAGAGTCTGTCAAGACTGGCCCGTACAGGCAGGGGTACCTTTACCTTTACCTTTAGCTGTAGCAGTTGCTGGAAGGAGGCATACAAGGTCCAATCCAACCATCTTCAGGACTCAGGTTTGGGTAGGGTTCACTCCTTAGCCTTTTTTCTCCCAAAGATATGCCACAATGCAGCAGAATTTTAATATCAAGAGTTTTCCTTTGCATAGAGGGTCTACCTCCCCAGGTCGGGAAGCCCCATCTCCCCATGGTCATCCTCATCCTCCTCATTATTATTATTATAGCTTTTGTTTCCGTCAAAAAATGTATAGGATCATGTTATGTAACCCCCGATCAGGGAACACCCCAGGCCGCAACGCATACGTAGGCAGCCGGCGCACCTTGAGGACTATGAATGCAACCTCTCGGGCAGGACTGGAACTTAGAGGAGAGGGGTGTTATGTACTGAGTTGAATAGGATCCCAACTGCAGCAGTCTGATTGGTCCTAGAACGATAGGATTCGGAATGCAGCAGCCTGATTGGTCCTAGAACAATGCAGCAGTCTGATTGGTCCGCAGGAGCCACCCAATCCAGCTCCAGGTGGAAGTGAATCCACAACCTGATTTGCCCACGGGAGAATCCCAGAATTAGCCAATCACGTGCGGCCCATTGTGTAACTAATGTATATAAAGCAGATATTTGGGGGGAACATTCATTCCTCACTACTATGAGCTGAATAAAGAGCATGAAATCCACACTCAACTCAGAGTACCGTATTTTTTGCACCATAACACTCACTTTTTTCCTCCTAAAAAGTAAGGGGAAATGTCTGTGCGTGTTATGGAGGGAATGCCTACGGGTGGCATGCCTACGGATTTTCCTCCGCTAAAAACTACGTGCGTGTTATGGTCGGGTGTGTGTTATAGAGCGAAAAATACGGTATATTTCAGATCAACAAGTTGTAGCTATGTGTGGTCGTTGGTTAATGTTTCATTTTCATGAGGTTACTACTGCCATCTACTGTGTCTTCACAACCATCACATACCCAGGAATTAATCAACATCCCTTTCAAGGTGCAACTAAGAAATAAGGATTTGAGCCGGGCAGAAAATGTCTGAGACCAAGACATGCCCAGACACGTTATCTTACGCTGGAATGCTCAAGGGCAACTGACCATGCTAGAATGAAAGACGCAACACACAGCCACATGAATGCAAAAGTTACTTTTATTAAAGGCCCTGTCTTACAAAGTTATGCATAGCGTTAAGACAGGAAACACGCTTCACGTAAATCTCCCCAGGCAGCAGCCTTGATAACCTCTGTTCCTGTCAAATAAATATAACCATTAACGCATTCACTTCCTGATGTAAGAAACAACCACTCAAGTCTTCTCACACATATTGAGGTGACAAAACAACGCACTTGTAACCTGGGATTATGAAGGGAGGGGGATGAATGAGAGGGAAAAGCTTTTGATGTAAACAAGGCGTCAGCAACCTTTTTCAACCTCAGACCTTGTGGGGGCCAGACTATATTTTGGGGGGGGGGGGGAAAGAACGAATTCCAATGCCCCACAAATAACCCAGAGATGCATTTTAAATAAAAGGACACATTCTACTCATGTAAAAACGCCAGGCAGCCCCCACAAATAGCCCAGAAATACATTTTTAAATAAAAGGACACATTCTACTCATGTAAAAACGCCAGGCAGGCCCCACAAATAACCCAGAGATGCATTTTAAATAAAAGAACACATTCTACTCATGTAGAAAGACGCTGATTCCCGGACCGTCCACGGGTCGGATTGAGAAGGCGATTGGGCCGGATCCGGCCCTCGGTCCTTAGGTTGCCTAACCCTGATGTAAGCTGTATAAAAGCCTGGAGATTCTTTTGTTCCGGGTCTTGCCTGTTTCCCTGCGTGACACGGTGAGACCCTGCTGCGGCAGATCTTTTCTTTAATAAAGGTCTGGCATCGTTTTGCCGCTTTGCTTCGATTTTGCCCTGGTTTCCTTCCGTTCTTTCTCTGACCGTCGACCTAGGATCTGCTTCTCTATTTTCCAATAAGGAGCCTTCAGGAATCAGGATTTTACATCACTATCTATGTATCTAATTCAGGTGGGTAGCTGTGTTGGTCTGATGCAGTAGAAATATATTAAAAATTAAATAAAATTGTCTAGTAGGACCATGTGCATGCACACGAAAGCTCATACCAAGAACTTAGTTGGTCTCTAAGGTGCTACTAGACATTTTTTTAATTTTTTATATATATATTTCTTTTTCTAAATTATTATATAATTTTATTGTTTTGCTTTAAACAAATACATATAAATGTAGACAACCAAAATTACAAAAGAAAATTCCTTAATAATAATAATAATAATGAAAAAAGCTAAAGAACTACAAAAAATATCAAAGTTCATGGCATAAAACATAAGCCACTATGGGAAAGAAAAAGGAAAGAAGAAGAAGGCTGAGAGGAAAAGGAAAAGGAAAAAGAAAAAGGGGGAAAGAAAGGAAGATGAGCCAAAATACAGGAAAGCTCATCTAGTGTACGCTTCCATCAAGGTCACAACAGATCATTATTCTTATCAATTCTCTCTATCTGCATTCCAAAGAATCCCTCATCTTGGTATCAGGGAACATTTATATATATATATATATATATATATATATATATATATATATATATGTATATACACACATATGCATACACACATATATATGTATGTGTGTGTGTGTGTGTGTGTGTGTATGTATGTATATATATATGCAGGTTTTGGTGTCCTCGGGTGTCTTCCCGTGTAAAAGTTGGGGTGTCTAGGCGACGTTTCGACGAGGTCTCACTCGTCATCTTCAGGCTGGTGCTTTCGGCTTCTTGTTACTGGAACAGAGCAGGATCTCAGTGTTTGAGTTCCTATAAATACTGTTGAGGAGGTGTGGTGTATAGCCTCCAATGTTCTGGGCAGAGAGGAAGTTCCCAGGCTAGTGTGCCTTCCTCTCTGCCCAGAACATTGAAGGCTATACACCACACCTCCTCAACAGTATTTATAGGAACTCAAACACTGAGATCCTGCTCTGTTCCAGTAACAAGAAGCCGAAAGCACCAGCCTGAAGATGACGAGTGAGACCTCGTCGAAACGTCGCCTAGACACCCCAACTTTTACACGGGAAGACACCCGAGGACACCAAAACCTGCATTCCTGTACCCGTGAAAATCTACGAAAGCAAATATATATATATATATACACATGTATATGTGTGTGTATATGTATATGTATATGTATATATTTCTATGTATCTAATCTCACCTTTCTCCGGAGGAGGAAGTTAAGGAAACCTCTATTTTTAGTACCACTTATTATTTGGCTTGGAGACCTTGAAGATTCAATTTATGGTTTAATTTGGTTATTAATTATCCCCCCCTTTTATTATTATTGTTATTTTTAGAAAAATCAATAAATTGTTATAGATTTTTTAAAAAATGTTATCTATTAAAAAAGAAGAAGATTCAACCCCGCCGGCCGCCTCCCCTCCCCCCCCCCCATTTCTCTAGGGATGCCCTTTCCGCGCTCCCACTCGCCCCCTTGCCCCACGGCGGCCGCAGCAAAACTCGCAATATCGCCTTCCGCGCGCGAGTCTATACACAGAAAAGGCGCAGTGGATCTTTTCTCGGGGCTGGAACCGCCTCCGCCTCTCGGTTTCCTTCCCTCGTCGCTGGCGCGGCCTCCTCCGCCGCCGCCGACCCCGCCTCCCCCGATGACGCCACAAACCCGCCCGGCCAATGAGCGGCCTCCTCCTCCCCCCCGAGGCGAGCTTTTGAAA